ATGCTACAAGCAAATTTAAGTTCCTACCTTCTAATACGTTCTTCGTTCCGTAGAAGATCAATCAGAATAAGTGCAGCCATTTTATGATTGACAGTTATTACATGTGTTACTTCTTTTAAAGGCACGTTGAATGAGACTATTAAAATTATAACTATAACATGGCATTTTAACAACAATTGTAATTTTTTTAACATAACATGGATTTACAAACTAAGGCTTGGTATTATAAAAGCTGTTATTTTTATAATACGATGTTAAATTTAACATATGAGATACAGAATAAAGGCTGGGAAAAAATTACACATAAAATTGGGAAAACCCAATTTTCAAAGAATTTGTAGTTAGTAGCCGATGATTTTAAAGATGTCGTGCCAATAAACGGAGCCCGGCATTTGGGATCACTACCTACCCGCCCCGACCGCAACCATACTTAGCTGCCATAAATCACCCTAAACTTGAAGACACCAAAGAATTTTACTTTTTATTACCTTGAATATCGTACAATTTCGTAAAATTTGATTTTTGTTTTTAGTAAGAAATCCTGTTGTTTACGAAAACCATAGCCGATGAAACTAATTCGAATGAATGTAATGTCATTTAATTCGTATTATGAAGTTTGTAAACTTAAATTTGTAAACTTTTTATTAGAATTTTTTTGTTTAGAAATTAAATTCTTTTATTGCTATCATGCCACGACCTATGTGCGTTTAATGATATTACCTCTTTTGGTATTTCATTTTAATGATTATAAATAATAAAAAAATTATTTAAATTTACAAAAGAATTGTATACGAAATTTATATTACTAATTTTGGGAAAATCCAACAAGGGTTGCACCTCGGTGTGCTAATCTTTATTGCTATTAGGAGCTTATTTCTTCAACAGGATATGGAATAAATTAAAAGAAAGGATGGCTCCATGCAGATTTATTTTGGCAATGCCAATTAAATAACATTTTCATTAAAATTAGTTTCATTGGTCATGGGTTTCATAAACAAAGTAACTTTTAAATTTGTTAGAAAAATTATCAAATCTTTTAAGTATAATTTAGACGTAAAAAATTACATTTTATCTCAAATGATTTATAACTGAGTACCGATGCGGATGCCCGGGTCACAATACAAATGAAATGACATCACATTCATTAGAATTCAAGACAATAATTATGCTTTACATAAAGCAATTATGATCGAAGATGGGTTTGTGGACCATCTTGAGTTCTAATTATTACGTTGGCCTGTCCGCACACCGGACAATAATGGTTACTATACGAAATATTAAATTATAATAATGTAAATAAACACTTTTTGGTGCAATTCAGAAGTATTTGATTGTTAATCACGTTTGTTTCCAAGACAGTAGGTTGTATTTACTCATTGCTATCCCAAACTCGTTCGCGTTCTAGAACGGTAAGTAAATTTGTTAGATATTTTATTAAAAAAAAAAAACTAACAAAAATCAATCGCGCAAAAAATTTCGTAAGCATCAGGAACGTGATTAAGGACTTACCGATCTCACACAATAATTAGAGTTGTCGCTTCACTCTCCCCTCTTAATATACTATTGATTTGTTCAGATTTTTTTATTATTTTAGAATTTGAAAAAGTTAAGTTTCTTACAGTCTGAATTAATTTATATACGCAGTCTTGCATTTAGGTATTTTTATTTGTAGAGTCTTTGAGCCAATAAAATATTTCGCTCCGCTTCACCAAGACTGTATACCATGTTAATGAGTTCTTGACGAGTAAAATTCATTTTGGGACTTATAATCCTCACAATAAAATTAATAGATTGTAATGACAAAAGCCCACTCGATTTTTATTGTCCAAAACATAAAAGTTTATGGAAATTTAGTTAATTTAGGATAGCAACTTAGAATTTTACACTGGACTATACAAACCCTATATTGATGGAAAGCTTGTCAAAAGATCTTTTGATTGGTACAATAATAAATAGAGGGTGCCATTTGAAAAAAATGAGTTTTTGACATTTTTAATTAGTCATGTTTAAAAAATCGCAGTAGGCACATGCCACTGAGCAGGTTGATGAGTAAACACTTAAAAGATGCGGAAAACCTTCAGGAATCAAACGGCGTTACTTAATTTAAGTTGTGTGCAAGCATTTAGAAGTTACGAATTTTTAGACAGACTCCTGCATTTCAAAAATTCTGGTAAAAAAGCACCACAAATCAAAATTGATAACAGATAAATGAAAACAACCTCTATAAAAGTTATTTGTAATTTAGCATAGAATCCAAAAATAAAATCAAACTGAGTAGATTCCATTAAAAAAAAAAAACATAACTTTAGTGTTTTTTTAATATTGGGACATCCTGTATATAAACCGCAATATTTTTAAAATGTGCATCAAAAACGCAGCTATAATCTAAAAAAAAGAGAAAGTCAATATCTCTTAAAGTAAACAAGTTATAGAGCTTTTTCGGACCGTTGGGACAGCCTGTATATCCAGCGATCAAGATAATTTGTAATCGAGTTATCCTTGGATCCGAAAAAACGAAGATGAAAAAATTGCAATTTTGGCGTAAAATCAAAAGTAAAAATTTTATCTTCGTGGCCTGCTCTATTTTTTTTTTAGATCGCACGGTATTATTTTACCTTGGTTAAAAAAGTGAGGTCAGGTACAATATGAATTTGTCGTTAGGATGTTTTCCAAATAAGTACGATAAGGAAAGTCGTTTTATGTTTACACAAGATTTTTTTATTTAAAGTCAAATATCTCAGTGGCAAATTGACGTAAAGAAAACATAAAAAAGCAAATTGAAGCTGAATAAATTAGCTATCTGGCCCATATATTGTTGTTTCTAATCAAAGTTTCCCCAAGCTTGTGAATCAAAAAAAAAAAGAATAAAAAAATTACATTTTTTTTTCTCGTGCTATTTCTTAAGATTACGTAATAACAGTAGCTTAGAAAAGATCCTAAAGCTAGACACTTGAAGCTTTAAAATGGTTTTTTTAATTCTACACTGACCGTCAAAATTAATTTTATATTGAAGTAATGCTTAAAAAAATAAATGCATCAAAAATTATTATTAAAATTACGACTTAAACTTTAACAATTAAACTACCGTGCGATCAAAAAAAAAAAAAATTAGAGTAGGCGGTGATTAAAGTTCTTCAGATGGCAATCCTGATTTTTGACATTAAATGTCAGGAGAAACTTTGACAAGTTTGCGTTTTATTCCTTTTGAGTGAAATAATGTTCATTTTAGAGCAGAAAATTTTTATTGCTCTACAAGAGGAAAACGGTGGATTATCATTTTCACTTTAAGTTTGTGTAGAAAATTTCCAGCCCAGATTACCAGCCAATGTGTTGCCAACTGTAGAATTTAATCGATGCCTACTCTAATTTATTTTTTATTTGATCGCACGGTACAATTTAATGATTGTCAAAAGCAACAAAAAAGCGAATTTCGTGCGGATCAGTTCTTTAGCGTAGATAAGCTTTTCTTACATTCGGAGGCAACCATTAATACCTAGCATTACCTCTTCGAGCCTGGAAAGAAGCTCAGTTCTTTATTGTCGTCTCTCAGAAATTAGTAGTGATTTTGATAATTTGACATTTAATCTGTAAACAATGAATTGTTTTTGAAAAATCCATAGTCGATTAAGTTACTTGATAATGCTACTATCCTATATCATCAATTTAGTAATGTAAAATGTTTTTTCCTTTTGAGGTATTTGAAATAATAACAAATCTTTTTTCAATGAGTTTTTCACTAAAAAGCTTAATTTTAAATTAATTTAAAAAATAGAAAAACAAAATAGAATAACATAAAAGCTGAATTTGATCCATTTTCTCAAAATGCAAAATAAGGTAACAAAAAATTTAAGACATCTTTGATATTTTAAAGAATGCAACGTTTACTTTAAGCAACAGTAAAGTCTGTTTTTTTTTTAATGGAAATTACCAAGTCAAAATTTTGGTGAAAAAATTGGTAGCAGCTTGTCTCCATAGCCACAAATTTTGTTTGCTCTTTGTTTTTGTCCCTAGAAATTCTGTTAAAAAATTATGGTTATGTGTTCAAAGTGAGATGTTGTCAAAATTTCGACTTTTATGAATCTTATGTGCCTGTTTGCTCTTTGAAAGCGCTATAATTGAATACCTGAGGACAGACATCATTACCTAAGGTCTAAAGACAGAATTCAGTGCTAATAATTTTGACAGAAACACACCGCAAGTAAGTACAATGCTGTGGATAAAAATAAGATTCTTCCTACAAAAACTTTGAAGAAAAAGGATGTATATACAGAAAAAAGTTATTTAGCAAAAGATACAAGTGGGTATTATGATGATTGGCATAAAATTTTGTGTAATTTATTGAAATGAGCTCAAAGTTGATGCATTGTATAAATTTTTCTTCAGCCTTAGTTTCAAAATTGTTACTTTTTCAACTCGTTCCTCAAAAACGATGCACAAAACACTAATTTAATTGCGTTCTTTCCAAGGTTCTTTCTCATTCATGTTTATTTTGTATTTTTGTCAATTTCTTGCTAAAAATTGAGAATGTTTAGCAAACCTGCATTACAAATTGCGTCTACATTTGAACGGGCCCTTTTTCTAACTTCCTGCTTGCGAATTATTCCTTTCCAAATTTCGAAAAACTGTTAGCGGTACCGAATTTGTTCCTTTTTTGGTGTTTCGTCTCTAAATTTTCTTAGACGATTTTTTGTGTTGACGTTTAATGACACTGTTTTCAAATTAATTCAAAAAACCGGAACTGCCAACTTCCTTTATTAAAATTACCATGAATGAATTTACTAGTGATGCCAACGTTAAGACTGTTTGGCATTTCTATTTAAAAAAAAAAACAGACTTTACATTATTTTCAATGTGTGTCCCGCACCTTAAACCCTAATTTGCATTTTACTGCATTCGATCAATTTCTGTCCTAAGCTGTTATTTTAAAAATTATTAAAAATTTTAATTTCAAAAATATTTTTTAGAGATGAAATTAAGTTTATCACATTTGATTAGTGTGTTGCCTATATTTAGACAATTGACATTTATCAACTGCGCAAACTCCATTCGCCCCAAATTCGATAAAAATCACCAGTAAAATGGCCGCCGAAATGTTTTTATTTACATTTACCATAAACAGTTTTAAATAGACCGGTAATGTTTCCATCATCAACAAAAGCCCTCATCGAATTATAACATATTTTTCTACGACTTTTCAGTGATAAAATGGTGATTCGAAAAGCGAACGCATCGGAAAGTGGCCCAATATTGTGATACTTCAAGAAATAGAAAAATGCTTCTTTTTTTAATTAAAGGTCTACTTTTGTCGATTGTAGTCGGTGCCAACGACACTCTTTGTCCTGCTAAATGTGTGTGCAAAAGAGTAAATCAACGTGACGAGTTGAAGCTACGTTGTGGCGAGCCTGAAAATAAAATTCTTAGTTTTGAAGAAATTGATTTGCTTAACATCGCCAACGATATTGTTCAATTGTAAGTCTGTTTGAAGGTTTGGCTATTAATTGTTAATTAATTTTATTTTCAGCAATCTGTCAAATAATCTCTTAGACACCTTCTTCCCAAAAGTACAATTAATAGCTCTACAGAAACTGTAAGATAAGTCTTGTTTACCTCACTGGGAATAATGTTTTGTGTTTTTTGCAGCGATTTAAGTAAAAACCGATTAACGGAATTGCAAGACAACCAATTTACCGAATTGCCAAATTTAAGAAGATTAGACATATCAGGAAACAACATAAAAACTATACAGTTGTTGGCTTTTGCTAAGCTTGGAAGTTTGGAACGTCTGAAGTTGAGCCAGAATCAAATCAGTACCATTGCTTTAGGAACGTTTAATCCACTCGTGAGCTTGAAACAATTGTAAGTTAAAAAAATGTGCTGTTTTTAATCAATATATCATGCCATTTCAATCACCCATTTTGTTACTTTTCATAATGTTTTTTCTGTATAAAATAGTGGTGTGTTTTAGGTACAGAGTGGTTATAAATGATTTTTATCTATCCAGTTGTGAATTTTCCATGTAAAATAAAAAATGCCGCCTTACGAAAATAGGGGTACCTAATTGTTGTAACTCAAAATTAAAAAATCGCCGTTTACTAAGCGTCCATTTCGAAAATAGACTTCAATTATGAACTTGTTTTCTTCCAAAGTATACATTATTATCAATTATTATTGGAAATTAGTTGAAACAATAAAAATTTAATTAACAACATTTTATTATTAATTAATAAGTGACACTAATGACAGAACTAGAGCTTTCAAAAAAGTAGAGCGGCACAAATAAAGTTACATGCAAAAAATTCCAAAGCTGGCTAGATAAAAATCATTTATAACCACTCTGTATAAATTTATCAGTAAGGTCCAGTTGTTACTCAGATTTTTTTTACAAACAAAACAAATGTTTTTGAACTATTTCACCTCTAAAAACGCAGTTGCGACGTTTCCAGTAAGGCGATTGAAATGGTATGATGTTTATAAAAAGTGGATTTTATTGACCCTAATCATTAAGGATCAAATAAAACGCAGAGTCTTTTATGTAGAAAATTATAAGTGTGACCCACTCAAAAATGAAGTTATAATTTTGCTATTTTCTTAGTAGATTTGAAACGGGATGAATTGTCTTAGAATATCTGTTTTTAAACGGAAATCACTAAGTCAAAATATTGGTGAAAGCTTGTCTTCAAAGCCATAAATTTTGTTTAAATACTTGTTTTTGTCTCTAGAAATTTCGTTAAAAAATAATGCTTGTTTTCAAAATGAAATGTCAAAATTTAGACTTGTTGAATTTTGTTTGCCTGTTTGCTCTTTTAAGAAATACCGACCAAAAAATTCTAAACTAAAAATATTGTAACTGAAGCTAGTACATTTTTAAAACAAATTTTAAAGGACTTAAATTCATTGAAAACGGTTTTTGGAGTTATTGGATTTTGAACTTTGTTTTAGTCTAAACAAATTAATAAACTATTTTTTTTTAATTATCTTCTGGCAGAGTGTTTTTTAGATTAGGAATGACATTTTTAATTCAAAAAAAGCTTTTCATCAAAATTAAATTTGAACTTTTCACTACAGTAAGTAAGTATCTAAAATAAATTTGCAACCCACAAAAGAAATACATATTTCTAAAATTCGTCTTTAACAATTCAACTTTTTTCTGAATGCAAATTGTTTAAAAGCATAAAACGCTTGATTTTGTACTTTTTGTTATACAATTATTAGCAAATTATTAGCACTTTCTTAAACTGTAATAATGGCAACTGGCATGACCACACGCAAATACAGGGTGTTCCGGCTAAATCCCACATTAGAAGTATTGGGAGTTCTAACAATGATATTTATCTAAAATTTTGTTTATAGCCATAATCGGTTAGGTTTTGCTCAATGAAAATATTTTCAAGATGGCGGCACTTCCTGTTACACCGGAAGTGGATATCAACATTGTTATTTTAAATAGAAAGTTATGTTTTTTATTGCGTTTTTGGATTATTCAATTGATTTTGAGAGAGTTTTCATTAGCCTTTCCTATACTTAACTTTAACCGTTTTCGAAATATTTAGACCTTTTTAAAAAAATTTGGATTTGAATCTTCCTATTCAAAAATCGATAACTCTACAATTTTTTATTATGTTGAAACCGCATTTGGAGAGAGAAACGTTAGATTTTTCCTTTGGTGTATTCATAATTGGAAAAACCGCCAAAATGTAAATACTCAAATACTTCAAATACTCTTAACTCAATTTTTCTAAATGAAACACTCCAATTTTTTCTTCACTAAATGGAGAAGAATTAAGTTCTGCTTCGATCTGTATTAACATTCCCTATATAGTAACTTCTTTTGATATTGTGAGAAATTCATTAGCCATAGCTACTTTAGCATAGGTTGTAATAGAAATAAGAAAAAAATAGAATACCAAAGGTATTCAAATTTTGATTAAATAAATCTAATTTGTATTTACGAAAAAAATAACACAATTGTGAAAAAAACATTGCATTTTTTCAGTGAGAAATATTTTCATGACAAACTATGCGAAAACTACCATGGATAATAATAAATTTCTTTAATTGTAAAAAAAAAGTCAAAATAACTTGGAAATAATCAAATTTAGGTATAGGGATGTTGATACAGATCGATGCAGAATTAAATTCTCTTTCATTTAGTGAAGAAAAAATTGGGGCCATCTATTTGAAAAAATTCAGCTACGGGTATTTGAATTTAATTATTTTTCCAATTATAAACACACAAAAAAAAAGTTGTAACCTTTCTTTTTCATATGCCCAAATACGATTTCAAAATAATTAAAAATGGTAGTGTTATTGAGTTTTGGAGAGGAAATTAAATGCAAATTAAAAAAATTTCAAAATAGTGTAAATATTTCAAAAACAGTTAAATTTAGGTATAGGGAAGTCTGATAAAAACTCTTTCAAAATCATGTGAGTAATCCAAAAACGCAGTAGGATCTAAACGATTTTGGCTATAGTCAACATTTTAGATAAATATCACTGTTAGAACTCCCAATACGTCTAATGTGGGGTTTAGCCGAAACACCCTATATATCTCGGTACTTTTCTATTGTCAATCTGTCTCTTGTCACAAGGCTTTTTCTGTTTCAAACGATGGAGTTTCTTAGCTCTAAATTTGTGAGTAGTTGTAACGCAGATTATTCTTTTACACAGAAATCAAATTTTTGTTACCTATTTCAAGTGAAAAAATGCAGTTGTGATGTTGCAAGTGTGTAATAGAAAAGTCTCGACGTTTATACAGCGTGTTATTTAAATGCATTTAGAACATTTAAACAGTGATAGAACTCATCAAACTAAATTACTTTTCCATTTACTTACCATTTCATCGAAAACTCAAAATGCTCAAATTTACTTTCGCCCTATTTCGTCTCATCGAGTATTTTATGGATAGGATGGTGAAAAGACAACGAGTTTCGTACGAAAAAGGTTAATAACGCACAGAAAGTAAATATAGCAAAAACCCAGTCGGATAGATGTTGCAAAAATTTATTGACACAATTTAGTAACCTTCTTCTTCATTTTCTCAATTTTTTTTTACTATTATTAAGTAAGAAGCTAAAACAGGTTTTATTTTTGAACAAATTTTTGGATTTGAACTCTAACGGATTTCTGTACTTTTTTATAATGCGATTTTGTAATTTAAGAAGAATATTCATTTTGGCATTTAACTAATAATTGTATTTTGTAATTTTTTAGTCATTTTATTTATCATGTAAAAAATGTCAATTCATTTGCAATTTTTTTTCCAGAGACATATCAAGTAACCCTCTAACATGCGATTGCAGCCTTCTATGGCTTCTCGATTGGAGCCAAAAAGAATCGGTAAAACTTCTCTCAAATCCCACTTGCAACACCCCACCATCATTCAAAAACCTTCCACTTCGAAAACTAAAAATTGGTGTAGACATCCACTGCAAATCGAAAGCTCTCAGCAAAGGTTTCCCTATAATCGAAATGAAACCATCTGTCAATCAAGTTGTTTTCGAAGGTGATCCTTTGAAACTCCAATGCACAGCCCCTAGCATATCAGACACATATGATTCACCTCTGAGCTCGAAAATCGAATGGACTTGGTTAGATTCGGACCCGAAATTGTATTTCTCTGACGTTACAATTGAGAATCATTTTTTGCAAAGTACCGGATTGGTCGCTAGCACTTTACAAATAGCGAAATTGAAGAGAAACCATACGGGAATTTGGACCTGTTTGTTGCTTTCAATGCAGGGGAATCACTCGAAAGGCATTACGATTGTGGTGATTTCGGATGAGACTGAATACTGTCCGATTACTGTCACTTCGAACAACAAAGGGACGTATACGTGGCCTCGAACTGTTGTTAATTACACGGCGACAGTTCCGTGTGAATCCCCGAATTTGATTTACGACGTTTCGTTGCATAAAGCTTCGTATTTTTGTTCGGAGGAGGGACAGTGGGAGAATTTGAACACTTCAGCTTGTTCGTATACGTCCGAAACGACGAAAATACTCGAGCAGTTTTCGAAAGTCAATTCGAGTATTGTCGAGAGTGCTAAACATTTTAAAAATTATACATCGACCATGGAGCATTTTAAAGATGAAATGGATATTGTTTTTGCTGTTGAAACGATGGAAAATTATTTGAGGTATTTGACCGTTAATCAAATTGGTGGAGTACTTATGGATGTGACGAATAATTTGTTGAATTTACCAAAGGAGTATCTCAGATGGGCCGATTATCGATATGGGAGTTGTAGGAAGTTGGTTAATATCAGTGAGAGGTTGGCGGGGATTAGCACGACGGCGTTATTACACAAGGTAAGTGCAATAAGTAGTTAAAGAAACTCTTGAGTTTATACATTTAAATAAAAAGACGATTTTTGGAAAAACTATTTATTATAAAAATATTATACAGTACGAGTCACAAAACTGTTGTGATTGTGTGAATCTGTACCGTCAAAGGAACACTATAGAACGCCAATTTTCAAAAACTGTCAAAGCTATCACAGGTATCTATGTTTATATCTTTGAAAAATTTCAAATAGTTATCATTAATTAACGCATAGTGGTATCTGAGAATGTATTTTGGGTTACGTTTGAAAATCGGTTAGGGTCGTGATAGGCCATCCAAATGGCGTTTGATTTTTGACATTTCAGAAATGTCAAAGAAAATATTGAAATAATGTGTGAATCTGATTTAAAATCGTCGAACTGGAGCAGTGTACTCCCCCAGAAGTAAGAGAAACTGCTACAAAAGCAATTGAATACTAATTTAGCAAAATATTATGCGTAACTTGACAATTTGAAAGAAAAAATTCCCGGTATTTTCGTAATTTTAACGTTGGCAATCCTGCATATTACCACCCAAGAGGAGTAACATTTATTATTCTTCATGAGAAATAATGACATGTTTCCCAACCTTAAGAAGGTTAGTAATCGGCATATTACATTAGTGATTGTGAATAAAAGTGTTTTCATTTTTTGTATCACTAATGGTTGGTGCTATTTGACATTTTTGAGTTAAGAGGTTAAAATTAACCTGTTTCGTTTTTTTTGCAAACTCTTTCTGGTTCGTTTTTATTAAAACACCTTGTATTTCATGAATGGATGGTCTGATTTAATTTTGATAAAAAGTTTTCAAAAGCTTCTTAAAATAGCTTTCATTTGATGTGCCATTAAAATTTTTAAAGTTGGGGTGCGTGGGGGTTACTGGGGGTGTTTTAAAAAATACGTCAAAAATGTCCCCCTCGAAAACAAAATTGTCCTGTTTCGGCGTTTTTGCAAAGTTTAATACCTTATACAAGGGGACCCTCCTCTGTGATTTTGAGGCGTTGTGCTGGCATAACTAAATCCTATTATGTCTTGTATTAATGTTATGGTAATCTAAATGTGTTTTAAAAGGTCACGGTTTTTATTAATAAGGACTGCAAAACGCTAACATCAATAAGTATGAGTGGCAACAAAAGTCCACTAATCGCTGTCAACTGTCAACTTTGACATTGGACGATTTAAAAGTTTTAATCGAAAACAGTTATAAAAAATCGTTTATTTTAAACTCTAAGCATAACCTAATAAAAATCTGGTGTGAACATCACACGACTTTTCTTATCCAACTTATTTGGAAAACATCCTTACGGTGTTGGAAATCCGAGTAACCTAACGTTTGCGTTATAGATCATAGTTGCCGCGGGTTCGAGTCTGGGGCGCATTTTTTTTAAGTTCGGTACCCATTATTATTTTTATTTTATCACATTTTACTGTTTAATAGGGTATATTTCATCATGCTAACTAATTTGAATGAATTTATTTATAGTATCTTCAAGCATATAATTTTGATTTTTGGTCTTTGCGGCCGAACGGTGCGACCGATTTTTACCAATTGTTTCGTGCTACGTCCCCTTGCTACAAGTAACTTACATACATATCGAATGAAAAAATCTTACTACTTTGTTCCACTGCTGCAACAAAGGTAGCGCAATTAAATTGAAGGTAATTGTGATGGAACTAAAATGCGAGTCTTGGAAAATTAGGTGCTGTGCTAAGTGTAATAATTTATTTACTTACAGTTTTGCCTCGCAATTTGTTTGAGAATTGATCGCGGTCATGAAAAAACTATCTACTTAGTTTTTATAGACACCTTAAATTCGTTTCGATTTTTTATTTTACATTATCATTGACGAAAGGTTAAACAAATGTGTTAGTACTGAAAATAAAAATTTAACTACGTGAGAGAACAATTTCGTAGCATCCTTTTCATTATTAAAATTTTCTCTCCCTTAGTATATAATTATCATTTTATTGTCTCTTTTATAATAACAAATATGAGATGACCATTTTATTTATTTACCGTAAAATGGGGTTACTTTGACATCCGGGGTTACTTTGAGACGTTATGGGTCTACTAATTTTGTTTCATTTTCAGTATAGGTACCTACCAAAATTTAGTTTATTTTATTTTTATGCCATATAAAAGCCACAACATACCAAAAATGACTTATTTCATTTTTTTTAAGAAAATACAAATAAAATATACCTATATTTTATGTTTTGTGTTCAATGAGTTTAATAAAGTTTTTTTTTACTAATAATGTCTTTATTACCTATTTGGTTTTACAGTCCTACTTGCTATTTATAATATACATTATTTATTACAGTTATCGCTGTCGGATTTTCTTTTCCAATTTTCTTCTTGCACTCGTCACTTCTTTCATCCATTCTTTTTCCTCACGATTTTCGCTTAGAACTTTTTCCCTATCAAACTCGCACACTCTTAACTTATTAAGTTTATTTACATCATATATTACAGATTTTTAGTTTTAAGGTGACAAAGTATTCCGTAGGCTAGCATAACTTTGATTTTCAACGTAATTAAGGAGACTGTCAAAATAGCCCCAAAGTCAGGGTTTCTTTGACAACAAATTTTCAAAATTTTTTTTTTGAAAAACTGAGCTTGATGCAAAATTTTAAGTTTGTTTAATTTTTTCAAGAAAATATTGCAACAAATAAAAAAGTTATATTAACAAAACCTCTCAAACTATGTCAAAGTAACCCCGTTTTACGGTACTACACAAACCTTTTTGCTTGAATTTTGTTAACTAAACAAGTATTTTTTGCATTTCACATTTGAAGTGCAGTTATAATCGATGTTGATGTCAATTTTAGTAGTATTTTTCTATATTCTAGTTTTAAAATTTAAATATTTAGTCGAGGGAGAGTTTTTTAAATGTACCACCCGTTCCAAATAAATCATTCTCTTGTGATTCTGGTGGACGTAAATCTTCATTTGCAACAGTGTTTGAACAATCTAGTAAAAATGTTTGTTGTTTTTCTACTTCTTTGTCCCACTTTTCTGAAAATTGTGAGCTGCAATTAATATACTTACATGAAATTAAAACAAAAATTGTTACCTAACAAATCAGAGATTTTACTGTTAGTACCTCCATAATCAACTGGTAAACATTCTTTGGGGATTATCTTGTATAAAGATTCTAAATTTTCATGCAACCTTATCTACAATAAATCAAGTAAAAAATCAAACATTTTAAGTAATACTATGTTAATACTCTGTCGTAAATTTTCGGTCGAAGAAACATTTTTAAGATAGCGAGAACTTTGTTAATAAACTGTGGATAATTAATGAATTCAATTCCAAAAAATCGCAGAGAATAAGCTTTCTAAAATCAAAAATAAAATATGTTTTTTTTTTTCTTCTAATTAGAAATTACTTCAGCCAAATTATAGAATCTTAACAGATGTACTGGATTCCATCTCGCTAGATGTCTTAAAGTAAAACCTGTCTGATCTATAAGTAGTCGAACTCCTAAACTGCCATCGTGCCGTAACATCATTTCACTTACGGCAAGTGCAAATTTACAAACTGATGTAAGGTCGTAGCATTTTGGATCTAGGTTTATTAATTTCATGATGACGACACGTTCATAATTTGGCGTTAGTTTATGAAGTGGCAAAAAAGTTCTAAAATAAAAGATTTTTTTTTGTTATTTTGATTAATCTGTAATATCATTTTACTTACAGTGCTTCTTTTGACGGTATAATTTTCTCAAAACCTTCCAACAAATCTTTATTTGTCCCACGAAGTGTATAATAATTTTCTAATTTTTCTTTACACCTTTCGATGCTAAATTTATTTTTAAGTAATAGTTTCTCGAGGAAATCATCTGTGTGTGGGTATTTATTAGTGTTTATGAGAAAAACAGGATAGCACTAACCGCTTAAATCTCCCTGAAGATGGGGTTGTTTGGACTTCCAAGTTTTAATTATTTCAATGTCTTCTTTTAATTGCGCATCGTTGACGTCGTAAAGTTTCAAAATTTGAGCTCTTTCGTCGGCAGTCACACGAAGTAAGTCCATTTCGAAGTGAAAAGACTAAGAAAAATAGTTTTATTACAGATGCAGTTACAAATAATTATTAGATTAGAATAGTAACAACTAACAAGTGTGTATAAGTACTACTAATAAATGGTTAATTTGCCATTATCGAGTCGTGTTCTATTTATTGATATAATTTGTGTTCAAAGTTCATAAGGAATGTATTGATGTTGTTTTGCGAACAAGTTTTGTTTCTTGTCTTATTAAAAAAAAATAGTTCTGTAAAATTCTGTAACATTTGTATTAAACTTTTTGGACGAAGACTTTATTTAAAAATTAGAAATAAATTTTTCATTTGACGTCAATGACAATTGACAAGGACACATCGATGGCTATGACGCACTTTAGTTAGAATTAAATAGTCAAAAAAAAAATAAAAATCAGTCACTCAGTAAGTAGAAAGTTATGAAAAATGGAATTTCAATAAATAAGTTTTCGATAGACAAAATGTTTTATTAATGTGTCTGAGGCTGGTGTTTTTTAAGAGTTTGTTTCTACTTTGCGTTCGTAATTAGGCCAGACAAAGACAAAAACGATGTTACAACAATCATATATAAATGATTGCGGGATCAAGTTGGCTTTGAGATAATGTTCACTTGTGAATGTGCCCTTTATATGATGCTGAATACTGATATAAAACTTATAATATACTACTTTGTACTTACAGCTTTTAGATATAATAACTATTTCCCAGTTATCTTCGGCGTGCAAGCATTTCTCGCACTAGTCGCACTGCTATCTTTTTTTACTTTGCAATAGGAATATTTATTTGGTTGGTATCGCTTCGGTGGAGATAAACGAAGATTGTTTACGACTTTTTTCATGTAGTACATGGGAAACTGCTTCGTTCGGACGCCTTTCAAGGCGAGTCTGTTTTCGGCACTTATTTATTATTCTTTTTCAAAAGCAACCAGTAATACACCCTGGGCAGGGTCAAACTCAGTCTTTACCTGCGTTCACGAGAGTGGTTAGCAAGGGTCATAAATTGTAAAAGACAACTGTCTGACATGAGACTAATTTCAGTACTGAAATTGCGCTCGCAAATTTAGTTAGCTTGGATGCAAGAAAATAGAGCCTGTTCTAATTTTTTGGATGAAAGTTTGCTAAAACTGCGCACTAAAAATGCGCATTGACTAAAAGCATAAATTTAAAATATTCGAATGTAAAAACAGATATATTATAACTAGGAGGCTTTACGAGCTTTTGTCTAAAACTAGAAAAATGTTCAAGGGTAACTTTTTGAAATTGTGTTTATGCCACCACGCCCTGTTATCAACGTATTAAGTCCCCCACAATATTCTAAATTTTAGAAATCAACAATTTATTGCAAAAATCTGGTATTATTTGTTAATGTTTTCAAATCAATAGTTCATCTTCAAAATGCATTTTCTATTAATTATTCACTCTAAAATCTAATTTTTAATTTAACCAACCGATTTTGTAAAATAAAGAGTAATATTGCAGAATTTGTCAACTAAAATATGAAAAATATAACAAAAAATAAATATAACAAAATATCACCAATTTTAAAATAATGCTAAATCAATATGTGGTAAATTAATTAACGTCCTTTAACATTTTTTAAATAGTTTCCTCAATTAAATGGAATTTCAGATACATGTTACATAACAGAATTCCAAAATATTTATTTTTTAAGGCTAAACAGGGTAGTTTTTTTTATTACCAGACATTAAAATGCAATTCCATTTTTTATTAGCCTATTTCAACGTTCAAAAACGGTTGGAGATATAAATCTCCATTTTCCTCAAGAAAATTTTATTCTCTACAACCCCTTGACTGTATTTGTTGTAAATCTCTTTAATTAAAAAGAATTATTCGCAAATGTTAAACTTGGCTTTAAATTTTATATAACTCATTTAAGAATACTGTAATATCTGTAATATTTTTTTAGGGTTAGGAATTGAATGTCTAGGTATATTATTGTCCGTACTTAAAATTGACAACTGGCAGTCCCTTCGGTCTTTAGCAAGATCAATGCGCATGTTCATAGACTTATTTCAGTACTTACGTGTCATACAGAACTTTTAGTAACTTCAACTAATTTCGATACTAAATTTGCGCGCGCAATTTCAGTACTAAATTCGGTACTGAAATTAGTCTCGTGTCAGACAGCTCTTTAATTTCAGTACTGAAATTGCGCGTGCAAATTTAGTTTCGACACGTAGGTACTGAAATAAGTGTATGAACATGCGCATTGGTCTTATAAAAGACCGAAGGGACTGTCATTTGTCAATTTTAAACACAGACAACAATATACCGGATATTTCTTCGCAAAGTATTTTTAAATTAATTATATAAAATTGCAGGCCAAGTTTAACATTTGCGTATAATTCTCTTTACTTAAAGGGATCGAAAACCATTACATTTACAACAAAACGGTCAGCCAAGGGGTTGCAGAGAATAATTTTTTTTAAGAGAATGTTAAATACATTTTTTTATCTCCAACGTTGAAATATGTTAAATGGAATTGCAATTTAATCTCTGGCATTAAATTAATTAATTGAGAAAAATATTTAAAAAATGTTGAGGGACGTTAGTTAATTCAACACTTATTGATTTAGCATTACTTTAAAATTGGTGCCCCAGAGAAAAATTTCAAGTCAGATACGATACCAGGAACATGGAAAAAAATGTTTAAAAATTTTTATTTGTCAAAAAAATTTGATATGTAATTTTTGACATTTGACATTTTTTTATGTTTATTTAATGATACTGATGATCTTGTATAAGTTTTTTTAGAATTATTTAGCAAGAGCTCAGAAATTTTACCAATAAAAGCTACAAATAACATTGAACAGAGTTACAATTTAGGATACTGCTTCCTTGTTTCCTCTTCTAATAGGCTGTAGCAAAAAAAATTTTTAAAAGTATTTTTCCAACAGGAATAAATAGAGTCAAAGTGCAAAATTTAAATTCTCATAACTTCGAAATTTTTATAAATAAAATATTTTTAACATCTTTTTCCATGTTACTGGTATCTTACCTTTTTTCTCTGCATTTAACATCACTCGAAAATGATGAGAAAGCATTTGCTCAGAACATTTTCAAAAAAAGTTCAGAAAGCTAGAACAAAGTAAACAAGTCGAAATCTGAATGGAAAGTGATTTGATTTGAAAAAGATTTGCCCTTCTATTTAAGACTCGTGCCTTAAACTTCTAGATCCTCTTTGCTCAATGATCAGTGGTCATTTTTACAACAAAAAAACTCTTTATTTGCTTTAATTAGTACGCAGGTACTCTTTATTTGTTTTAAGTAAACAAATAATTTTTGTTTATTCTAATAAGAACAAAGAACGTGCAATTGACCATTTTTAAGCAAAAGAAGAGTCTTAAAACAAATACTTTTATAAAAATGCAATTTTAAGTAAGATTAACATGCATTTCTCCTATTGGCGCACCTGAATAGCAAACCTTAACTTCAAAAAATCATATCTCAAAAACTACTCGGTATATTATTTTAAAAATTTGGATTCTTACTAATACAAAGATACTCTACACGATGGTGACGAAGAAAAAAAAATTACTCGTAGGGTTTTTCTTAGATTACTTCGATTTATTTCGAACTTTTTCGAACACTGTTCGAAGAAAAGTTTGACAATATTCAATTTCAATTTGCATATCATTCTAAAGGGCAAGTCCATCCCTTTAGAATGGTCTTTATTTGAAGGAAATCGGCATAATAGTTATTGAGTAATGATTTTTTTTTAAGTTAAAGTATTTTAAATTCATTTAAATTAGAAAAAAAATTATTTAGTTCAAAGTGTGTGGACATTTTGAAATTTTTTTTAGTGCATTTGATTTGTTTCACTGAGATGAACAAAATGATATAAAATTTCTCAAGTTGTCACGACATGACTTTTTTTTGTCGCCTTGTGTAATCATCTTTATACGAGGGTGTAAATTGATTTTTATGGCACAGATATGTTCAAAATCTGGCAAGCAACGGTTGGTTAAATTATTCAAACAATGGTAGCAAAACTTATCATATTCTTTCACATACATATTACAAATTCTTTGATTTATAGGAAATCAATTTTCTCTGAGAATTTTTAAATTCTTGTAAAATTTCTTCTGAATAAACGCCTTCTGCTTCAGAAACGTTCACTTCGAAAAATGAATTGTTTTTTAAACAAACGCAGTAACCTTAACAACATGAAAATAGCTAACTTTCTACACAACACACTACACAACTTGTATGGACACAAATTTTAGTTGATTTCCTTCTAAATATTTGTTTGAATCCTCTAGAAATTATAAAATAGAATAAAACGTTGTATGTACCACGGGCATAATTGTTGATTATGACCCTCGAGAATTTAAAAGTCTTCGTTCCTCGGCCTTTAAACATTCCCTCATGTCATAATCTCCTAATTATGCCTTTAATACATAAGTAACTATTATGTTATCAGTATTCAGTATCATAATTATAAAGTGGCACATTCAGAGGTTGATATTATTTCAAAGCCAACTTGATTCGTCAATCATTTATAGGCACACACTGCATTTTAAGGACTATAATATATAGCCATAAAAACTACGTCGATACAATAAATAAAAATTATGATGGACTTTGTTAGGAAATTTATTAATTAGAAACAAAAATAACAAAACAATTACAATATTTAATTGAGTCAAGTTTTTTTTAAACCGTCATAAGTGGATCTAGTTTGGCGACTGGTGTTTGCATGTTCTAATTAGTTACCCATGTAATAAAGAACTAGAAAATAGTTATTTATGTTACAAGGCCGTGAACTAGGATTTTTTTTATGAGAATGAATATTATTTGGCGAGGCGAGGGCCGAACCAAATAATCATTCGAATAAAAAAAGATAGTTTACGGCCATGTGGCATACAAAATTTTGTGTGCAACTGTGAAAAATTACCAAAATTAAGGTTTCGATCGAATCTTTACAGTATTATTATATGTATAATTAACAATGTTTGTAATCACATATTAATAAGGAGCGTTCGAATTATCTAATAAAAGCTAATTTCATTCAAGATCATGACCCGTAAAAAAAGTCCTATTTTTACGTTGTCAAGGCTTTATTTTACTATAAAAAATGTGGTATTTCACGACTCAAAATCAAGCAAAAAAAGTGAGGTTTTTTTGACAGTTGCACATAAAAGTATCTTTTTATTGACTTTTTTGTTTCACCATTTTTACCTATAAAAAAGTTTTTTTGATCACCTTGAGAATTGCATTAATTAATTTCATTTCAGGAGAGGCGAAAATCGAAATTACATACTTACTTTAACTGATGAGATATGCACTGTTGCCATTATTACAAAGATCATTCTCTGCTTTACTAGTGCACTTAAAAAGTCTTAATTTAATGATTTTAATTAGTATTTTTATTACTTTTGACAAAGATAAAGCCTATTATCATTCCGGCATGCCGCGACGCGGCTGAACGACTTGCCGGTCAAATGCAGAAGGCGGTAATCCTCGGCTCATTGCGTCTGCTCAGGGCACACGATTTGTGGACCTAGGATTTGCTTACCATGCGGTCGTATGGAGCAGGTTCTAGGGTATGGATTAACCCGACTGGAATTACCCTTCAGTTGTCGGAGACTGGGGGCTCTGGTTCCAGCCAAATTTAAACGAAAAAAAAAATAAATAAATAAATAAATAAATGTCGTGCCTGCACGTACAATTACTGGACTCATATCATTAGTTGATAGTAACACTATCCCTAATGATCAGCCTCCTTGGCCACGTGGAAAATGGTCAATGCCCAAATTTTTTTTTTTATAATAATAATAATAATAATAATAATAGTCGAAATTATTAACAACCACATACTTCCAAAATATCTAACAACCTGCCTTTCATTCATAACTCTTCATACACTAATTTATTGTGCAGCAGTAGCTGCTATTAGAATTAATAATTCTAAAGAATTTTATAGACATTCTAAAAACACAAACATAAATAAAACACCACAATGAGAAATTAGACTTAATAAAAAAATAAATTCAATTAGGAAAGATTTAGGTCAAATAACACAATACCTGAAAGGTATAAATACACAACACATAAACCAATGCATAGAGCTAATTATTAAGAAAAACAAGATACACTGCAACACTTATTCAGAGTATAATTCAACACTTTTACAAATCAAAGATACAAAAATTATATTTTTATTCTAAAAGATTGAAAACATATAAACAATCTCACCTTAGGAAAATACAAAATTCACAATTCTTAAACAATGAAATTTTTTTTATCGTAATTTAAATAATGAAGAATCATTAAACAATGGTCTACCCAATCAAGATAATTTAACCCAATTTTGGAAAAACATTTGGTCTGAGAAAAAAGATTTTAACATGTCATCATCTTGGTTAAATCTTATTAAAACAGAAGTTTCAACAAAAAATGACATGCCATCTTTTCAGATTACAAATGAAATTTTAATAAAAATGATAAATAAATCACATAATTGGAAATCTCCAGGAACTGACAAAATTCACAATTTTTGGTTAAAAAATTTACATGTGTACATTCATTACTTTTGTGGCATTTTAATAATTTTATTATAAATCCACAACATTTTCCAGAATTTTTAACACATGGGATTACTTATTTAAAACCAAAAGATTCAGAGACTAAAAATTCATCTAAATATAGACCCATTACGTGTCTTTCAACAATTTATAAGATAATGACATCTTGCATATCTGAACTAATCTATAATCACTGTCTAGAAAACAATATAATTAATGAGGAACAAAAAGGATGTATTAAAGGATCATTTGGATGTAAGGAACAACTTATTATGGACACTGTGGTAATGGAACAAGCAAGAAAACATAATAGAAATATCCATGCTGCTTTTATAGATTATTAAAAAGCAACTCTGTTCCTCACTCTTGGTTAATTGAAATTTTAAGAATATACAAAATACATCCAAACTTAATCTCATTCTTGAATTATATTATGAATTTTTGGAAAACTACATAAAATTTAACTTTAGAAAACAATAATTTCTATCGGGTTAAAAATACAAAAATATGGAGGAAGCCGCAAAATTTCAAATCCATTAGCTTTTGCTATTTCATCAACAGCATACTTCCTTGGAAAATTTTGCTTTTTCACTAAAAGCAACTACTCTTTCTTGGTTTTTGCTTCTTCAGGGATGTTAACATCATGTCTTTGCAAAAACTGAATGATATCCGCTTTTTTCGTGGTTGTTGATGGAATTTACACATAATGTAATGCTGACAATCGAAGATTGTTTTAAAGTTAGCGGCCTTAAATCACCAAAATTCATTAATAAAATTACTTAGTTACCTTAATTGAGTCGTTTTATATGGAATATCAATGCCATCTTCTTCCAATTGTTCGATTAAATATTTCACCGTTGGAACAAAATTTTTAGAGTAAGACTCATATATTTTTGTAACCATCGATGCTTTCATTGACTCTGTCACTCTCCCAATTTTTTTTTTAAATCACCACATTTTCGCACAGTCCTCGCTTTATGATACCTTTTACTGTTTCAGGTGAAATCTTTAATAGTTCAGCCGTTCTTTTTACCGGATATGGATGATTTCTGAAAATAAAGTTGTATGGCAATTAACAATAAGTTCCTTGGCTACATAAGTATAACTTTTTCAATTAGAGGGACCTTCTTCATCTGATGCGGAACTAATCATTACAATGTCCTCATTTTCTTCCACCAATTCTGATGATTCGATGTTGTCAAAATCCACGGGACGCCACATAGCCATTTCAAATATTTCAACAAATTTTGCAAAGAAACAGTCCCTTACGAAAGCTAAGACGAAAATAAATAGTCAGTCACTCACGAAAGCTCAAAACAAAATGAAAGGAAAGTTTTAAAGTTTTGCAAAATTACCTGCTTAAGGCTCCAGACCCCCTGAAAGCTGGCGTATACCTATTACATGTAAATTTATTTCATTGTTTTTAGCCGCAAATTTAGACTTGAAGAGTTTCTTGATGTTTGTAGTGTTTCTTTAAAGGTAAATGGAGATCAGGGAAATATTCCCGCTTTAAATAAGTTAATAGATATTTTTTTATTGAATAACATGTGAAAATTTTAATTATTAAGATTTTTTGATAACGGTATACCGTATTGAATTAAAAAAAAAACAGTTTATAGGTAATTTAAAAATTCAGTGCCCTGATATAATGCGAATTTGATAACTGTTCTTGATTCTTTGATATAAAGCAAAAATTAAATTGAAAGTAGGCAACCAATAATACACGATTTTCTGTACCTGGAGCATAATTTATGACAGGCCGGGCCGCACCGCAAGGTGTAACCCACAACATGATGGTTTTATTGCGTTTGTTCAAAGCAAAGATATTCATTTGCACCCCTCAATAAGAGAATTGTTAGTTCATTTCAAAACTTCATTTTTTTTATTATTCATCTATTTAAAAATAAATTAAAAAAATAGATAGGTTTAATATAAAGGCACTAAGACCAATACGTAAACCTGAAAAATAAAAAATTAAAATATAATATTTATATTAATTTTACTGAGGACGGTTTTTGCTTAGGGATTATTATATGAGTTGATATTTACGGACAGCTCTAATTAGTCAAATTAATTTTGTGTTAAAAAAGATTCTAGGTATTTGTGGTGAGACACATATTATGTTTTTCGTTATTGTGTTATGTGTATTATTTCGTTCTATGGCAGTTTTAATATCGGTGTTTCTCGCGCTAAATGGACATTTAATTTCAACAATAGCATTTTAACCGACTAATCCATCTGGTGTTGCACCTAAAAATGTTTTTTCTTCATCAACAAAAATTCCGCATGAGTCCACCTTGAAACCTGTGATTTGCTTAAACTTTTCCTTTGCTTTTTCTTCATTATCAATACCCCATTGTAGAGGTTCAGGCAATTTTTTAAATTTAGACACACCTACACTATATAAGATATTTTTTACAGTACTTGCTGTATTGGTTTTACATTTCATATTTATAATTCTTCCAAAATTACTAGCTGTTAATCTGTTATTTCTTTCTTTAGCCCACTGCTCATTATTACGTTGACCAATTGTTTCAATAGGGATTTTTAAAATATTGTAAGCAGCCAAATCATTCAAAAACTCACTTTTTATTTTGTCATATGTTTCCATTGGCATATCTATTATGTCATCCATCAGTCGCACCATAATCAGAATCTGCACTATGAATACGAATTTTTCTTTTATTTAATTTCGCAGGTTGGGTTTCAGTGGAATTATTATCGACATCGTACAAAAGACTTGAAGATAAATTTGCAACTCTTTTTAATGCCCGCATGAACAATTCAAACAAAGAACTATTTAAAAAATCAGAATATGCAACTGCATTTATTATTTGACCAACTGTTTTACAGACATACGAAGCGCAATTTGAATGATCACCAAAAATATGTGCGGGTCCATTTAAAATATCATTTTTCAAGTTTTCTGTTTTTTGATGAATTGTACAGCTTTCGTTTTTTCTGTATTTTATAGCTGAAACAATTGCTGTTCTAAATTTCAAGTAATTGTTGCGCAAGAATGTTTTTATATTTATGTCGGATCGGAGAGTTTTAGCGATTTCTCTAATTTTGGTACAAAAATTTCGTAGTATATGATATCGGCATTCAATTTTTTGAATGAAATACGAATTTTTTTGTAGACATGCATTTTGCATTTCCAGTTGTGGAATGTTCAAAGCTGCGCAAAATTCTGTTAGTTGAGAATAACCAGCACCTAGAAAAAATGTTAGGTTTTATGTTTTTTAATTCCAAAAATAAATGCCATGTCAAGAATCCTTCGACCACTTGGAACAAAATTTTGTTCTTGACTAGTTTCTTTGTCAATAATAAACACTTCATCGTCATCGGAACTCGATTCAATTGACTGAAAACTACATTCTGCAAGACTTGATTTACTTGGAAGATCAGTTTTAGAACCTTTTCGTTGTTTTTTCCAATAATTACGCATCATTTTCGACTTTTTTTTTTTTTTTTGAAAGAAATTGTTTAGAATTATTACCCATAATTTCAATACAACGTTTTCAACAACAAGTGATAAGAAAATTTCAAAGCACTGCGGTGGAAGAGTGCCACTAGCAAACTGCAAAGAATCAAAAAGTAAACAAGTTATAAAATTGTATGTTTTCAATATATAAGTCCCTACCACCACCCTAAAATTTAGCAAAACCCACCACTTTACTTGCGAAAACTCATTTGTCAAAGTGACATTATTGTCAAAAAATTATTCCAAAGTCCAAAATCAAGAGAAAAATGAACTTTTCTTTCTACTGAGCTAGAATCTGAATCTCTGAAATAAAAGAAACTCATCGATGGTGAAATTCTGTTTGTTTACTTTATTTCCATTTTATGACTAAAGGGACCAGGCACCAGGTAGAGAAGGTCGGATGGTTGACAGCTGCCACAGAATAAAAGTCTAAATAGAGTATGCAACTTACAGTTCACCAAATCTGAACAGTTCATTCGGTACCCTAGAGCCTTAAGAGTGTTTGTTTTTCCTAAAATTCCCAGAAAGTTACCTGCCCCATTTTAATAATAACTTGTCATTAACCACCTGGCCTTTTCAAATTTCTTAAAATATTTAGTTGACTTCAATAACAATTACATCAAATAACAACAAAATATTAAAATATTTTATGTAAGCTGCGATGTGCGTTCATTAGAAAAACTCATGCAAAAGCAGAATGTATTTTTTTAGATTCAGTGATTAGATTACAGAATTTCAGACAAGAAAAAAGTAAATAATCCGACCCTGGTAAAAACTGACCTGTTGCCTTCGTTTCTTGGTCTGGGTGGGTTCCACTTATTTATGATATGTTTACCCTTTGGTTTACTCTTAACAATACCGCATTTAACGTAAAAGTAATAAAATTTTTAGTAGGTCTTAGCAAAACGATATTAGTATAAACCATTGTTTTCGGTGATAGAAATCAAATATTATTCACAAGTGAGATAAAGTACTCACAAGTGAGTAAATTTGACTATTATATTATATTTACTATTTTATTTTTATAGGTGAATATTTTACTTGAATGAAACTTTATTTTTTGTACCTGTAAGTTAAAACGTATATCACACGTGATCGAAATGCCATTATGAAATTCGTGAGAAGTGTCAAAATTCTCACTCGCATATAATGATGCATTTCTATCACTTATAATATAATGCACTATTATTTAAATGAAGATGTGTGACAATATAAACAAAAAGATTACAGACAGATGGAATATTAAATATTTCACAGTAAGAAATGTAGATAGAGCAAAAATTTTTGCTGAAAACTATGATTTATAAATAATGAACAGAACAGAAATTTTTGCTTCGCGTCATGTTTTTAACTTTTTTTTGAAAACGCTGCATATACGGTTAAAGAAAAAAAATTAGCCTTTTTTCAAGAAATATTTCTCTTCAAAGATTAGATTTTGAGTTAAGGTTCAGTTTTCAGATCATGTTGAATTTAGTTAACGGAAACGGCAGATATTACAACATTGAATCCGAAAAAAAATACCAACTTGTATCTTATGGTCTACGAAACATTTAACAAACTAGCAAATTCAAAAATAATTTACATAAATCCTACAACATCGGAAACAAAAGAGCTAAGATTATTTATATTATATTCAGGGGCAGACTGGCAAATTTTTATATGGAGTGCTAAGTTGAAATGAGGGCTCAATATACAATACAATAAAAATATGCATAAAAACTACTTGTCACTTAATGTAGTAATTTTTTTTGAAGGAGTTTGTTTTCTCTATTGAGATTGTGACGTCAGTTGAAATCATGATGGTTTAATAAATGAAAATAAAGTTTTTAGATGAACGTCTTCAGAGGCTGCTTGTAATTTTAATTTTTGTTTTTCTTTTCGTTTCTGTGCACCAAATTTATACTTATATTGAGATTTTTCCATTATTTATGCCCACTAATAATTAAAAAAAAAATTAAAATTAAATTAAATTAAGTAAAAACAATATTTCATATCGGTTGATTACAAAATGTGTGGCATAATTTTAATTACGAATACCCCTCTACAATTGAGAATAGATAGTACAGTGTTTATAGCTCAAAAAAATTACAACTTTCCAAAAATCGGTATGAAAAAATGATTTTCCGGAAATATTTTTGTTACCGTTTATCCGATTATTGTTAAATTTTTCATGTTAAAGGACAAAAAGACACTCTTTGATTTGGTGTAAACGGAAGTCTTGTAGAAGCTATACATTTCCGGTAGCAATGGGTTCTCCCAGTTTTGGGATCATAACTTTTCTTCGGCTTATTAATTTCTGTTTTTGATACAGTCCAACCATTTTATTTATAAAAAAGGTAGTTTCATATCGCCAAAATGTACCGTTCTCGAGTTATTCGAGTTTAAACTAAATCCTACACCGCGCTGCAAAATCAGAATTTATAAATTTTGAGCGTACCTTGGAAACAATCCACTACGAATGACATCGCTGTCAATGCTGTTATATATAATGTAAATTTAATTAAATCTAAAGGAACATTTGTTTATTTCTTGATGATTATAAAATTATATAAAAAATTTTTCTATTGCTTGATGAGTTGGATTAATAAATACTGTGCTATCTATGTTCATTTGTAGAGGAGTATTCGTGATTAAAATTATGACACAAATTTTTGATCACTTGTATAAATTCACGCGGAATTTTTCTTACATGCGTGTAAGACCTTATAAACAAAATTGAGCTAAAATCATTGAAATTATAGAAATTATAGTTTGTTATAGTTGTAGTTCATTGTTATGATGGTAATTTTTTAATTCCTTCAAACTAAACATACTTAGCTTCTGCGAAAAACGCGTTAGCTCTATGCAATATCAAATTATAACCTTTTAGTGCATTGTGGAAAGTTTATTTACAAATTTAAAATTATTGATATTATTTCAATGCGCTCTTGACATAATAAGTCTACCATAATTGGGGGCCCGTAAGTCTCGAGGGCCCGGGGTGCTATGGCACCGGCACCCCTGGCCAGTCCGCCCCTGATTATATTATATAATTTTTATGATATTTTAAAAAAACTAATATTTAGTCTAGGAAGAGTTTTTTGAATGTACCACCCGTTCCAAATAAATCATTCTCTTGTGATTCTGGTGGACGTAAATCTTCATTTGCAACAGTGTTTGCACAATGTAGTAAAAATTTTTGTTGTTTTTCTACTTCTTTGTCCCATTTTTCTAACAAATCACACATTTTACTATTAGTACCTCCATAATCAGCCGGCAAACATTCTTTGGGGATTACCTTGTATAAAGATTCTAAATTTTCGTGCAATCTTATCTAAAATAAATCAAGTAAAAAATTAAACATTTTAAGTAATACTATATTAATACTCTGTCGTAAATTTTAGGTCGTAGAAACATTTTCAACATTGCGAAAACTTTGTTAATAAACGTTGGATAATTAATGAATTCCATTCCCAAAATTCGCAGAGAATAAGCTTTCTAAAATTAAAAAATAAAGTATGTTTTTTTTTTCTAATTAGAACTTACTTCAGCCAGATTATAACATCTTAACATAAGTATTGGATTCCATTTCGCTAAATGTTTTAAAGTAAAACCTGTGTAATCCATAATAAATCGAACCCCTAAACTGCAATCGTGCCGTAACATCATTTCATTAACGGCAAGTGCAAATTTAAAACCTGAAAGTATGTCGTAGACCTTTGGATCTACGATTATTAATTTCATGATGACGACACGTTCATAATTTGGCGTTAGTTTATGAAGTGGCAAAAAAATTCTAAAATAAAAGATTTTTTTTGTTATTTTTAATCTGTAATATCATTTTACTTACAGTGCTTCTTTTGACGGTATAATTTTCTCAAAACCTTCCAACAAATCTTTATTTGTCCCACGAAGTGTATAATAATTTTCTAATTTTTCTTTACACCTTTCGACACTAAATTTATTTTTAATCAACAATTTCTCAAGAAAATCATCTGTGTGTAAGTAATTATTAGGGTATTGATGAGAAGAGCAGGACAGTACTAACCGCTTAAATCTCCCTGAAGATGGGGTTGTTTGGACTTCCAAGTTTTAATTATTTCAATGTCTTCTTTTAATCGCACATCATTGACGTCGTAGAGTTTCAAAATTTGAGCTCTTTCGTCGACAGTCACAGGAAGTAAGTCCATTTTGAGGTGAAAAGACTAAGAAAATAAAACTTTATTAGTAACAAGTGTGTATAACTATTACGAAAGATTAAATATACAGGGTTATTCATAAATATGAAGCAATATTTGAACTTCAAAAACGACCTACAAAATGATGTTAATTTTTATAAAAACGCGTGTCCTATCTCTACTGATAAGAATTTTACAGCCCTCGGAATGTGGGTATGAAAATTTGTTTTTTTTTGTAATAACTGGAACCATTTGACCAAATATAAAATTTGGAATAGTTACTTGAGAGAACGTGTAGTACTAAGTTGGTTACTCTGTCGATCTAAGCAATAAAAAATTAGTGTTAAAAAGCCAAAAAAATTGAAAAACAGAAAATGTGACCTGCAACTGCTGTAACCGGAAATTGAGTAGATGTATCCGGTTTTCGTAATTACCACTTTAAAAGCTATTTTCTCATAAGTAACTATTCCAAATTTTATAATATTGGGTTAAATGGTTCCAAAGTTATTACAAAAAAAAAAATAAATAATTTCCATACCCAAATTCCAAGGGCTGTAAAATTCTTATCAGTAGAGATAGAACATGAGTTGTTGTAAAAATTAACATCATTTTATAGGTCACTTTTGAGGTTCAAATATTGCTTCATATTTATGAATAACCCTATATAATTATAAGATATTGTATAGTTCACGCAATGTTAATTTTTGTAACCGAACGCACTAACTCTCCACCAGAGTCCGTTACCAAATTCTTCTAGCATACAGTGTTCCAACAAAAAATATTTACTGAACATAAAAGCCCTCTGGAGTCGATTGTTTCATAATGAGAAGTTCCAATTCGTTCTAGAATGACGACATTTTGGAAATCGATGCAGTTGTTTGTTTGTACAGAATGTAATAGGCAAAATTCAGGAATGGTTAGAACATGTGAAATAATATTGGTTTGTCCTATAAACAATTATTCAAAAACGCTTCCTTATCAGAAATAAATGGCACCAAAATTTGAAATTTTTTCTCATCTTTTCATAATATCTCCTAAACTGAGGGAGCTACGAGCTCCAATTTTGTAAGCACACTAGATGAGTGATGAACTGATGACTATTGGTTTGGATTATTTTGTTAAAAAAACAACTTCAAATTTAATTAGTAGCGTAACACAAAAAAATCCGGGTAGGCAAAAAGTTGTGTGACCTCCAAAATATGTCACCCGATTTACCGATTGCACCGAAATAAGTACAAAATAATAGTCATCAGGTAGTCATCACTTATCTAATGTGCTTGCAAGCTTCTAGCTCTCTACGTTTAGGAGATATTAAAAAAAAGTGGGAACAAATTTCAAATGTTGGCGCAATCGGTATGTCGGGGGGTCATACAATTTTTTGCCTACCCGGATTTTTTTGTGTTACGCCACTGATTTTTTTTAAAAGAAAATAATACAAAACAATAGTCGTCACTCATTTAGTTGTGTTTGCAACATTTGGAGCTTGTAGCTCTCTCCGTTTAGTAGCTATTAAAAAAAGATGAGAACAAATTGCAAATTTAGGTGCCATTTATCTCTGATAAGGAAGCTTTTTTGAACAATTGTTTGTTTATAGGACAAACCCACATTATGTGCACGTGTTCTTACTACTCCGAATTTTCTCCGATTAAAACGGAACCACCCTGTATAGGTTTCTTGTAAAATAACATAAGTAGAATAACCAATCACAGTTAAAGTCTAATTTAATGTGTACAACAAACAAAATTAAAATCAAATCGAAAATTCCAAATCTTCAAAATTAATACCAAAATCACTGGTATCATTACTTTCCCTCAAATTTATAATTAAATCTTCCAAAAGATTTTATAAAACTGTCTGAATGTAAAAAATTGAAAATTTATAAAATTTCTCAGTTCAAACATTTTTCATTGGTTTCTAAGAAAACCAATTAGGCGGGGCAAATAATAAGTAATCGTGGCTTCAGTATAAATATAAATATTAATATTTGCTCTAAGTTTTTTAAACTGAGATGAATTTTAAAAAGGATCAAAAAATTTAAACTTGCACAAGCAAATAAAAAATTAAGGACATCAATAAGTAGTATATGGAGGGCTCAGAAGCCAATCAGTCTTAAGTCACAATTTTTCTCAAAATTATTTACGTGGTTTAGATGACAAATCTTTCATTTGGCTGTGCAACTTTAAAGTATTATCACTTTTCTTTCAATAAAGATTTTGTTTTGCGCCTTTGCAAGCTTTTTATATACAAAGTTTTTTTTCCAATGCTTAACTATCTTATTTTTAACATGATTGATTTATACTGATTATCTTCTGAACCCGCCATATCACTTTTTCTTTTTAAACTTTAAAAAATTATATAAATTTGAAGAAAATAAATAAAAAAAGATTGTATTTTCCCATAATTTTACATTAATGGATAATAAAAATATATATTTCTTGTATACGCTCCCGAAAACTGCTCTTTTAGGGACTCATTTAAGTCCCCAAAAAGGAGTCTTTTCCGGACAGTTTTTGCGGACTAAAAAATATAATTGGTTACTATGGTAAAAAAAAAATAATTTTAATTAAATTCTTGTGATTATTTTTGGTGGTTTAATTCATATATAAGTCCAATATATTGCTGAAAAAACCATAGAGAGTAAAGGCTTATCTATTGCTTTATAAAATTATTTTATTCGATTTATTTCATAAAAATATTTGTACAATAAACTTATTTTCCTTCCAACAGGAATTAAAGCGATGCTTTATTCCGTAGTTTTTGATTAATTGTTTAGTAATTTATACCCTCGGGAAAAAAATTAATTACATATATAATATATACTGTAAACTGTAATTTAGTGTTTTTTTGATATAAACAAACTTCTTAATACCGATTTTTACCTAGTTGAATAGTGAACTGAATATTTTGACCATCGCCATAGAAATAATCTTTTTCTCGCCTGGGCATTTTATGAGTTCAACTGATTCCCGTATGGCGCCCTAATCTGGGGAAATTTTTTTGACATATCCAGTTTTTTAGCTTAAAGGGTTCAACCTCATAATATCAATTCTCCCTGACGTATCTTGTTTTGTTGTATCCTTCCTTCCCAGCATTTATTAATAGCGTTATTTTTCGTTAATAATTAAAAATCATTCAGTTTTTCCTTAGTAACCCCCGTAACTAAGAAAAAATCGGAATCACTGCTCCAATGCATTTTTTACGAAATGCCCAGGCGGGATATTGATACATTTCATTAAGGGAGGCGGTGATTTTGACAAATTATTTGACATTTTTGACAATTTTATGATTTTCTTATGTTATTATTAATTTAGTCTGTTGAAAGGAATTATCGATATAAATGCATCTCTGGAAAAAACATCTTAATCCATCGAATGATGGTTGGTTCTGCCGTTATCTATATTCTCGAGATTAATAAAAATAGTTTTTATTCTTCGACACTCTCAAAATTTACGGTTTTTCTCCCGTGTAAGGAAGTTTTGACAACTGTTTGGCATTTCTCAATACGAAACGTCAAATTATTTTTAACAGATTTAAAGCAAGTTTAAGCCTTGTTGACTCTAATTCGAAGAATAAAATGTTGTATTCAACTCGTTTGACTGTAAATCGGACGCTTTATTCCACCTCGTGGATGGTAAACCACTCGTTACACTCGTGGTTTAAAAATCCACTCGGTCAAATAAAGCGTCCGATTTACACTCAAACTCGTCGAATAAATAACTATTATTCCTTTTATACATAAACATTATCCTACATCTTTTAAATAATTGGACAAAAACTGTGGTGATTTTAAACGAATAAGGTATTGTATAACTTCATGATATTTAAACAAACAGGTTTAATTATATCATCATTTACATTGAAAGTGCTTCTTAACACAGGATATTTCGTTCACTTACTTTGCATTATTTTTAATATTGAACAGATAATAATTTGAACATGACATATTATTTTTTTAATCATTTGAAATAGTAATTAAGAGGTGTTGGATAAAGTTTTGTATGGCACTCGTTGTTATTATTACAAATGAGTCACTTAAGAAAAGCACGCCATTTGCCCTACGTGCTCTTAGGGTAAACCTTTTCTAGTGTGACTTATTTGTAATATAACACACTTAAATCATAAATGACTATTAAAAAACTGTGTTACTTATTTGAAACAAAATTTGCACACCAATTGTATTTACCACTCACTGCAGTTCTGTTAGAATTTGACTAGTTCTCAATATTTTATGTTAATTTTGTTATGTCAAGGTTATGCACTTGTTGATGTTAATAACGAGAGGAGATAATCTTTGGTAATATGAAGAGATAACTAATAAATGTTGTGCGAATAGTTCAAGGATGGCACAGGGTATTTTTCAGCTAAGGCACTATGAATACGATCGTGTTCATTTTTTTGTATATGATTCCGAATCTGAGAAATTTATTTAGCTACATCGTCCCCTTAATGCAACAACTAGATAACTTAAATTTTAGACATCATTTCTCAAGTAAGTATTTTGTTGTAATATTTCAAAAACATAAAACGAAATTTTTTGTCAGATTAAGAAATCATAGTTTAGGCAGGCTTGGATATAGGAAATTAACATGGAAAATTAGTTTTTTTCGGACTGCAGGAGTAACAGAAATCAAAATCTGATTGAAGGAGCTTGTATTGCTCGAAAAGGGCTATCTTATCGATATTTTTGTCGATTCTAATTACCTTCATTTGGGCGAAAACGGCCCTCGAAGACTCGAAATTTGCCGGGTTAGCGTTACTAAGAAACGAACTATCAAGTCATTGTTGCCAACGGAGAATTTGTCAACTAAAAGCCCTTGTTATGCTTGTTTGTTATTTCACTTACTTTGTTATCTGCTTTTTGCGAATCAAAGCAACAGCCCCTTTTTTCCGAACAAGCTAAAATTTTGGATACACACGTAATGTTCGTGATATTGCAAAAATAGTTACCTTAATAAATACTTTATAAACAATTGACAATTGTTATTAACAATTATCAATATCTGAGCTCCTAATTGAAATACGAAGTTCAAACAAGCTCCATTCGATAGAGCAGAAAAAATTCTACACGCTGGTGGAGTTTGTACTCGTAAGGGCAACTTATACTTACGTCTGGATTTTTAACATTGCTCTTATGAAGAAATTGAAACGACTGTGGTTGAATATGCGATTTGTTATCTAAAAATTTGGATTCAATACCGTCACGCTACATGAAATGTTCTTTTTTAATACCTCTGATAAACTATTCAATTTTATGTCAGAAAACACATAATAGAGTAAGTTTAATAGGAAGAAATTTTAAGAGATGATAGCAGCGATTAGAAGAAACAAAAATAATTTAATTGACATTCTGTGAATGTTTGGACTAGTTATACTAACACAAATTACACATATCTCCTGAAATAAAGAGGGTTAATCGCTGATGATTTCTGGGGTTAGTTTTCAAAAACTACGACTATTATTGCTATTGTTTAAAGAAACTATTTTAAACATCAAAAATACAACTAGTGAAATTAAAAAAAAAGTGAAATTAGGGGCAAAACCTAAAAATTATTTCCTGTCAATTGGTACCGTTGCCAGCAGCGGAGGCACTGCCTTAAATTTTGCACCTTGATTTTATTTATTTTTGTGGGAAAAATGCTTTTACATGTTTTCTTTTCTGCAAGCTATTGTAAGAGGAATTATTGAATTGTTACTATGTTTAACATTATTTGTGGCTTTTATTGTCAAAGTTTTTGTACCTTTACTGAATAATTACGAGATGCAAGATTATCGGTATCATAATAATAAATTAAATAATAATAATAGTGTATGCGTTTCTATAGACACATAATTTAGTTGATATTGTAAGGTTGCTGGACATTTTGGGGGCTTCACCAGCTTCTCGTTTGAAGCATTTAAGGGGTCAAGGGTTGTGATTGAAACGACAAGTTCTACGCTACTCTACATTCACCTACACAGGGCGAAAAAAAAAAGTCATGCCGTGACAACTTGACTAATTTTATATCATTTTGTTGGTCTCAGTGAGACAAATCTCATGCACTAAAAAAAATCAAAAAGTCCACACACTTTGAACTAAATATTTTTTTCTAATTTAAATGAATTTAAAATACTTTAACTTTAAGAAATCATTACTCAATAACTATTAGGCCGATTTTCTTCAAATAAAGACCATTCTAAATGAATGGACTTGCCCTTTAGAATGATATGCAATTTGAAATTGAATATTGGCAAACTTTTCTTCGAACAATGTTCGTAGAATTTCAAAGTAATCTAAGAAAAACCCTACGAGTATTTTTTTTCTCTTTGTCACCATCGTATAGATCATCTTTTTATGAGTAGGAATCCAAATTTTTAAAATAATATACCGAATAGTTTTTAAGATGTGATTTTCTGTTTTTGTCAAGTTAAGGTTTGCTGTTCAGGTATTGCGCCATATAAGAGAAATGCATGTTAATCTTACTTAAACTTGCATTTTTATAAAAGTGTTTGTTTTCAGACTCTTCTTTTACGTTAAAATGGTCAATTGCACCTTCTTTGTTCTAATTAGAATAAACAAAAACTGTTTGTTTATTCAAAACAAATAAAGAATACCTGCGTACTAATTAAAGCAAATAAAGAGTTTTTTGTTGTAAAAATGACTATTGATCATTAAGCAAAGAGGATCTGAGCTTTAAATATAAGGGCAAATCTTTTTCAAATCAAATCACTTTCCATTCAGATTCCAACTTGTTCACTTTGTTCTAGCTTTCTGAACTTTTTTTTTGATAATGTTCTCAGCAAATGCTTTCTCATCACTTTCTACTGATGTTGAATGCAATAAGTCAGTTGTTTCGTGTGCAACTGTTATCACAACAACTAATACCTACAACTGAAGCTAATCGTAGAATGTACCAACAAAATAAATCAGGTGACTTATTGCATTGCACTCGAAAGTGATGAGTAAGCATTTGCTCAGAACATTTTCAAAAAAAGTTCAGAAAGCTAGAATAAAGTGAACAAGTCGAAATCTGAATGCAAAGTGATTTGATTTGAAAAAGATTTGCCCTTATATTTAAGGCGTGTCTTAAACTTCTAGATCCTCTTTGCTCAATGATCAGTGGTCCTTTTTACAACAAAAAAACTCTTTATTTGCTTTAATTAGTACGCAGGTAATCTTTATTTGTTTTAAGTAAACAACCAGTTTTTGTTTATTCTAGCTCGAACAAAGAAGGTGCAGTTGACCATTTTTAAGCAAAAGCAAATACTTTTATTAAATGCAATTTTAAGTAAGATTAACATGCATTTCTCCTATATGGAGCAATGCTTGATTAGCAAACCTTAACGTCAAAAAATCATATCTTGAAAATTACTCGGTATATTCTTTTGAAAATTCGGATTACAACTAATAAAGAGATGCTCTACACGATGGTAATGATGAAAAAAAAAATTACTCGTAGGGTTTTTCTTAGATTATTTCGATTTACTTCGAACTTCTTCGAACACTGTTCGAAGAAAAGTTTGCCAATAATCAATTTCAAATTTCATATCATCCTAAAGGGCAAGGCCATCCCTTTAGAATGGTCTTTATTTGAAGGAAATCGCTCTAATAGTTATTGAATAATGATTTTTTAAAGTTAAAGTATTTTAAAATCATTTAAATTAGAAAAAAAATATTTAGTTCAAAGTGTGTGGACTTTTTCAAATTTTTTTTTTAGTGCATTTGATTTGTCTCACTGAGACGAACAAAATGATATGAAATTTTTCAAGTTGTCACGACATGACTTTTTTGTCGCCCTGTGCTATTACAGTACCTTTTTATATACAGTGTATAGTTGGGTGGTCGGTAGCCGTACACACTTATAGTCGTTACCAACAATATTTGAGACTCATTATAGAATAAGCCGCTTACCCCCCACGGTGGTTCATGGGGCTTGCGGTAGAGATGCCATAAACAAATTTGCATTTCCTAGGACAGGCACGTTTCAAAGGTTTGTACGAAGAGATGAGTACGAAGAGACAGAAATTTGTTTTTGGGCTTTCATCAAAAAAAAAAAATTATTAATTTTAATATTCAGCTATATTTTGAGATTGTTTCTTTACAAATCTACATTATCACTTTAATATTAAATTAATATATAAATTCCCAAATGTTTGCCTGTAATAAATTAAAAGCCTACCACGAAAATTCCTGAATACGGCTCTTTTGGGTAGTACCACCAGCAGTGAAAAATTATTACGGTCTACCACAAAGCTGCTTAACCCTCAATAAAGCTTTGCATACGTCAATCCCAAATATTCCTGGTGACGACTATAACACCCTTTATCGTAAGTCGTATGTTATCGTAAGGCGTACTAACTCGTCGATGACTTCTCGATACCGGACAGGAACTTGCAATTCTATAAAGTGTTTAACTTGCATCGTCTGTTCGGCTCGAAGTCCATCGAAAACACATACCCTCAATTGCTCAATCTTACAATATTAAGAGTGGAATATAAAATCATATGAAATTCACTCGGATGTTTTATACACTCGACGTTGACTCGTGTATAAACTCTTAAAATCTTTTTCAATTATAGCCACCATTAGGTGTTCGTTAAATAATATACTAATTTACAAACGTGCATGGTATAATTAAGATTCTTTTACTTAAAATAACTAAATGAACAATCCTATCGAAAATGTTTAATAAAAATACATATCAGTTCATTTTTGTTTTTATTTGAAATAGTGTACTAATAAATTGCACTCAAAATGTCGTGGACGACTTTTAGGCTATCCACATAATAGTCCATTCCAGATTTATCCGGAAACTTCCAATTCAGTAACTGGTTTTTATGAGTATTTCCGCTCAAAACTAGTAGTTTTTTATAACCACAATTACTCGCAAAAGCCATATCATCCTCAATCCTGGAAACGAAAATAATAAAAAAAATGATGCTACTATTATTTCAAGAAATGAATATACGAGTCGCCAATAAATAAAACTCTTGAAGTGTTCCTTAACTGAAACTTTTCCTTGATAAACTCGTTATATTGAAGACTGGGTTTAGCCAATCGCAACGCTTTCCGTCCCGTGAAATTCTCCAAAATCTCATCGAAGTATCCAGGACCGAATAAGACACGTTCCGTGCCAGAATATAGATTTCTACTTCCGTTGGTCGTAATAAAAAGCGTGTCCGATCGTTTTAAGTACGTCCCTGCTTTCTGTAATTGCAAGTAATTCAAATTCACATCAGTGTCACAAACAACGGCACCGATGTTACAATCGTCGACCAGTGAAAAGTCGAAAAATTTTGAAACAGATTCTGGAATTACCCCAGGCTCGGATTTGACAATTTCAAAGCCAGCATCTTCCAGTTCTACTTTCAGACTTGTCATTCCAAGCAGAAATATTTTTTTGTTAAAATTAATTTTTTCAAGATACCAGATAACGGCTAGTTGGGGCATAATTAAGTCTTGTTGATTCAAATCAAATCCGAACGATTTCAAATTTTTATAAACCTCATTTTGCGATTTTGTTGTTTTATTTGAGACAAAAATGATTTGCTTTTTGAGATTTTTTAGGTAAGCCAGACCCAAATCAGCTCCGGGAATTTTTTCCGGAAAATGCCATAAAACACCTGCAATTTTGTTTAAAATTTACTTTTGCAAACACCAACTTACCATCTACGTCGCACAAAACCTGATCGAAGGAATCAAAAAATTTTTTTTGCTCTGTTTTAGACACACATCGTAAGTCTTTCATGGCTAATTGTTTAACAGATTTTTGTTTATTTTCTTCTCTACACGAAAGCCGTTTATCATTGTCTAGAATTAAAAATGTAACAAAGATTTGCATTGTTCTATTTTATCTTTCAGTGTATTATAATTTAATAGTAAACAAATGAGAAGGTCACATTTTTTGATGTAATTTTTGTGATTATAACAGAAACCAGTTAAAGTAACTATACAGCGTGTTACAGACTTCGAGCCCCAATGCTAAGTAAGGTAAGATACCGGGAACATGGAAAAAATGTTTTAAAAATTCTATCTATCAAAAATTTTGACATTTATCTTTTGACATTTGATATTTTTATGTGTATTTAATGTTAGTGATGATCTTGTATATGTTTTTTAATAAATATTTAGTAAAGGTACAAAAATTTTACCAATTAAAGCAACAAACAACGTTAAACATAGTTACAATTTAGAATACAGCTTCCTCGTTTTCTCTTCTAGTAACCTGCCACAAAAAATATAGAAAATTATTTTTCCAACAGAAATAAATAGAGTCAAAGTGCAAAATTTAAACTTTCATAATTTCTAAATTTTTATAGATAGAATTTTTTTAAATTCTTTTTATGTTCGTGGTATCTGACCTTACATGGAATTTTTCTTTGGGGCACGAGTTCTAAATCCCTGTATCTTGACTTACTTGGCAAGCAAGATTTATTAATTAGGATGTTCTGTTGAAAATATAGCAAAAAAAATCAATCGTGCAAAATTAAATTAAAAATAGCTCAAATTGCTTTATTTTTGAAGAAAACTCTTATTTAAACCCATCACTTTGTTGAAATACTTTGATTCAGATTAATTTTCGGCTTAAAATTGATCCACATCGATTCAAAATATCACAAATTGCTATATTTTAGCCCAAAATTGAGATTGAAGAAATTATTTTTATAAAATACGTTAAATGAATTCTGTACTAAAATCGAGCAAAATTAGTTTGAAAATAGTTAAATTGCTTTATTTTGGAAGAAAACTCTTATTCAAGCTATTATATTGTTGAAATACTTTGATTCAGGTTGATTTCAGGCTTAAAATTGAGCCAAATCGATTGAACATATCACAACTTGGTTTATTTCACCCTAAAATTGGTATTGCAGAAATTATTTTTATAAAATATATTAATTTAGGATTAATTCTGGATTAAAATCGGGCAAAATTGATTTAAAAATACCAAAAATCGCTTTATTTTGGAAGAAAACTCTTATTCAAGCCATTGTTGTGTTGAACAACTTTGAGTCAGGTTGATTTTTAAAATGTCAAATCGTATATATAGCATTTATTTTTTTAGCGTTTGCTACTTTGTTTTTTTTCTTTCTTTTTTTTTCGTATTTCAGATTTTTACAAAAAGAATTTGACATTTTCTCTCTTGATTTCAGTCCAACATGGCGACGGAAATATTCCCTGTCAAAAGAAACGGCTTCTCAAGTCTGAAATGCACTTGGTATACAGACATCCAAAAAGAATCTGAACGTCTTTTCTATTGTGTAACAAACAGCAACAGCGACACGACCGAACTTCCTGGAAAAACGATAGAAGCTTCAATCACGATACCGGAAACACTTTTCGAACAACTCGAAGACCAAAACTTCGACCTCTCCGACAAAATCTACAATATTCTCATTTCGGTATATTCGACAAACAAATTTTTTCCTCTTGATGAAAAACGTGAGAATAAAGTGGACGTCACATCGCCGGTAGTTGGGGCAAAATTAGGTAACGAATTTTCACAAATGTAATTTTTTAGTCATAGTTAATTTCTAGTGGACATCTCTGTGACGAATTTAACCGATCCGATCTTCGTCATGTTGAAAACTCCATCCGAAGAAGGTATCCTCACGCCCGTCTGGTGGGATAATGACAATTGGTCGTCTGAAAGTTGTCACTTTAGTCACAATTATCAAGACCACGTGGTTTTCTACTGTCACAATTTCGGTTACTATGGACTTTTGCAAGACGTTTCGGACTTGCAAAATTCAATCATCGGTGTAAAGTTTAAATTATCGCATCCGGCTGTTTATGTTGGCAGTTTTGTACTATTCACCTCACTCCTTGTTGTTATTGTAATTTATTTGATTTCTTACGCTTCGATTCAAATGCCGAAAAAAGCCAAACACTCTTTGATCAATTTATGGATTTCGGTGTGTCTTTTATGTTTTTTGTACGTTTTTGGAATTTACCAAACTGAGGACATACGAGTTTGTCAAATTGTCGGTTTGTGTTTACACTACTTGACTTTGTCTTCGTTACTTTGGATGTGCGTCGGTGTAAATTGCATGTATAAAAGATTGAGTAAAAACGACGTGTTGGAGTTGCAAGACGACGAATTAGTGTCGGAACAGCCGGTTAAAAAATCGATAATAGGTCTCTACTTTATCGGTTGGGGTGTAGCTCTTATAGTTTGCGGTATTTCGGCCGCGATAAACATCAAAGATTACGCATCGCCGACTTATTGTTTCCTTCGGAACGGTCCACCACTCAGCGCCCTCTATATACCCTTCACAATTCTCTTTCTGTTCCTGTGTATCTACTTTCTGTTGATACGGTGCGCCATCTATGGTATTGACGCGAACGGCCATCTGAGTGAAGGGACTCAAGCCACGGAAAATGTCGATTTAGACTTATTAGAGCCGAATTTTCCCGAAACTAGAAGTGTTGTAAGTGAATCTAGTTCAAGCGAAGTCGAGGATCCCGAACATGCACCTTCGGTCCAACTAAAGTCCTATGTAATTTTTTTATTTTTGTACATTTTGACATGGGTTTGTTGTGCGTTTGCCACCATCGAACCGACTTTTGTTTCATACCAAAACGACGTTTTTAGTATTAGTTATGCGGTCCTTGCGATCGTTTTGAGTGTGTTTACTGTGTTTTTCTATTGTATTGCTCGGAGTGACGTGAGAGGGATTTGGATCCAATTGAGGCGGAAACAGATATGTTTCCGGGGTCGCAACGTCTCCGACACTGTTCCAAATTTACCAAATTCGGTCGAAATCGTATCGAGATCAAGCAGTCGGTCCTCGAGTCGAACCAAGTCGAGTAATTTGAAAGCAGCGGTGGATTTGAACGGTTATAATAGCGACGGGGCGAAAATAAACAACGTCAATTTGATTGTTTTACACCGACAACAATACAGAACCACCATTCCGAACATTATCGAAAATCCGACGAGTGCTGCCGAAGTGTTCTACAATCCGCATCAGAGTATAGTAGCGCGGAAGTTTTTCAGGCGCCAGAAGCGCCACATGATGAAACGGAATAATTTGGTACCAAACGTTAGCGACTTGAAGAAAGACAATTCGAGCAATGACCAGAGTATCTACGGGACTAATTCGAAAGTCAACAATACGAATATACACGTAGAACGGGTGCGAAAAAAGCAGAAAAATCCGAATTTGTTTTCGGATAGCGGAGATGAGTGTGAGATTTCGGTCGACGATCTTGCAGAGAAATTGCGGAAAAAGTCGCGGAAAAACAAAACACAATCGATTGAGAATAACATGAGGTCGGTGTCGCAGCAGTGCACTTTGGAATACAGTTCGGAGAATATCTCTGATTCGATTTTGGATAAAACCAGTCCAGGTGAGAAAGCCGAAGTCGATAAAGTTCCTAGAATTTTTGTCAACCCGTCACATGATCTCAACTTGCAGAAACGAATACAAAGTAGAGCTAGTAGTGTGTCTGTGAGTGACTTGGACGAGTTGTATCAGCAGATTCGGAGGGGTCCAATTGTAAATAGTTTCAACGTGACTAGGAATAGTCCGTGTTTTTCAGATTCCGATATTACCGACCAGTATAGAGAACAGACATACCTCAGCGACAATGTCGAAACGACTGTTTGAGATTAATCGAGATTATTTTTGATCTATCCTATTTAATGTTGTGCTGTTTGTTGCCGAAAATACGTAACTGCGGCCGGTATTGCAGGTTTCTTTAATTGCCGTGAAATGCTCAATATTTAATTTCTCGTATTAGCTAGGTAAAGATATATTTTTTGTATGCGATTTATGGAATATTATACATCGAAATGTGCATTATTAGTACAATTAAGAATTATTTATTTGCTAAACGTGTGCACTGTTTCAATTTTAGAATAGAACTGATTTACGTCGATGTCGCAAGACGTATCATACCTGTGATATATTTATATTAAAAAAATACCAACCTAATTATTTATGTTTGGTAGTGACACAGAATGTTTTTAAATCAGTTTTACTTCTAGAAGACGTATTATTACATGCGAAGCTTTTGTAAATTATTTTTAAAAAGCGTGTAATTGAAATTATGATGTCATTTGATGTTGATGCAAAGGCAGTCTGTTGTAAGTATTAAAAAAAGAGTACAATTATGTACAATATTATAAAGACTGTTAGCTATTAAAAGAATATACAAAATGCTAAAAGTAAATACTGATTGTTAATATTTATGGATTCATTGTGTAAAATATTGTATTCGAAAACTTAAGAAGTAAGCATACAATTATTGCGTAAGGATTTGTTGTTTCATTATTTTCCTAGACCTTCTCAATTTGTGATAGAATGATAAGTGTACAATGCTTCGTAAATTAAAAGAAAATACAAACAACTTAACAATTATTTTAATTGTCACGAATATGTATAAAAATAAAAAATATATGTATGGTCTAGTAGTAGGTAGTTCCCTGGGCTTTAAAGTTGTCTTGAAACTAGTTGAAATGTGTCTGAAATTAAAAACATTTACAATAGAACAAGCATATTCGATTAACAAACAAGTCTTGATAAAGAAGTGACATTTTAAACATTTGGTACATTTGATTTTTAATTTACCCTTTAATTCAAAAGGTTATAAATGGTAGATCATACATTTATTTGTATATATTTAGAATTTGCACAATTAACATTAATTTTTGATTACAAATTTTTATAATAATTATGTAGAAAGAAATTTTTTTTTGATTCAAATGGTTTCTAATATTTGCTATGAGATATTCTTAGGTATTTTTGTTTTTTAATAAAGTTGACCAGAACAAATGAGTCATTGTAAATTTATGCGAAAATTTTTAGTTCATACACATTTTTAAATAAAAAAAGTTAATTTTTGATAAAAGATAAAAACTATATTGTCTTTTTTTTAATTTTTTAACCAATAAAAAACACTGAATAAATAGTGGTTTACAGAGAAAAAACAACGGCTCAAAGACAATTTGTTAAAATAGTAAGATGTTATCTTTTTACACCCTTTTCAGTTTGATAAAGAAAAAAATGGTGAAAACAATTAATTTTCAAGGCCATAACACCCACTATATTTTACTACATTACTTCTCAGTAATAACAAGACGCTTAAGAAAATACTAAAAATACACTAGTCGGTACAGTTTTTTTTTAGCAAACAAAACTCTTTTTTTTAATTTAACAATTTATTCTACAATTAAATGTAAATAATATGAAAAAAAATATCTATTTTATTAGTTGCACTTAAGAAATTTAATTATAATCTTCAATCTTTTGTTTTAGGCATAATTTTGTATCACCACAAATTTACAAGTTTTATTTAAGCTTATACAATCAGGAACATGGCAAAAAATGTCAAAAAATAAAATAAAATGTATAAAAATTTCGAAATAATGAGGGTTTAAATTTTGCATTTTGACCTTTTTTATTTCTGTTAAAAATAGTAGATTATGTTATTAGGAGTAAAAGTGATTGTTTATGTGGCGAAGCTGAACTTTCATTTTGGGGCAAATGGATTCAGTTGAACCACATAAACTCACTTTTACTCCAAATAACATATACTATTTTATCTGCAAACGATTCAGATGGAGAGAAAAGAGCAACACACCAATAATCAAGTAAATTATCTCAATAATCAGGACGCTTTGCAATAAAATCATAACAAACGTCACGCGTCAGTTTCGGAATTTGTGTTGAGATTTCGAAAGTGTTGATTGATTTAACTGGTGAATAACTGGTGTAGTTTATAGTGCAAAATGTCGAATGCTGATAATATACCTTGTACTTCTCCAGAAAATGCTGAAAAACCGAAAGAGACAACAGTGGTAAATGTCAAAGTAATAAGTGTCAAGTAAAAGTGAAAACGCCTGGTCGTAAAAACAGTGTTTTTACTCCATGTCTGGAAAGTAAAACTTTTACCTGTGTTATTTAGTCATAAAAGTTGTTACCTTTGTGACGTTTGCGCATAAAAATAATTTTCTATGTTTTTTTACTGCAGGCTATTTGAATAGGAAACAAAGAAGCTATATCCTGAAAAAATATATACAAGATTATCAATAACAATAAATATATATAGAAAAGGTTAAATGTCAAAAAATAAATGTCCAATTTTTTGAGAAATAGAATGTTTTAAACAATTTTTTGTCTCGGTATCTTATCTTACTTGGAATTTTTATCTGAGGCGCGAGTTGTGAATCATCTTGTATAGTTTAAAAAGAAATCTGATTCAGGAGTCCCAGAAATACGTGAAAGAAATAACCTTAAATCAATGGGTTCTATCGAGAGATAATTTGTAATCGAGCAGGGGCGTCATTACGGGGGGGCAGAGGAGGGCAATACCCCCCCCCCTGACTAAAATTACACCATCTGGATAATAAATTGACCCTTTAACTGATACTTTGTGTTATTTAAACTACTGTTTGTTTTTATTTTTATATTGTTTAAATGAATAAATTATATGCAGTTAGTTAGATACCTATGTGTTAAAATTATTATCTATCGTTATATTTATTAATTTTAAAAGCTTACTCGTGTGCAAATGAATTAACTTATTCCCCCCCCCCCTCCTCCTCAAGAAAATTTCAAATCACGCCCATGTAAATCGAGTCATCTTCGGTTCCGAAAACGTATGTCTGTTTTGAACTAATTGCAAATGAAACGTCAAATAAAATGACAAGTCGGAAGTTTTTTTTTTGAAGGTAAATTATAAATTTAGTTATTAAAATAATCTTCTTTTTGATCATGCTATTTTACCTTTCGACTTGTCATTTTCTTTGACGTTTTACAGACATACGTTTGCGTATCCAAGGATGACTTGATTACAAATTATCTTTATGTCTCGATATAAAACTACCGTGAGATCAAAAATTATCTTGATCAAGAGTGGTCATGGAATGGAAAACGTATGTTGTTGCTTACATCATCCTTTTGAAATAATTCTGTTTGACTCACTGACAGCGTCGACGTAACCTACGACAATTATTTTAAAATCCATGACCAAAATAATTTTTGATCTCACGATAGAAAAATGAGAACTAAAATAAAAAAAAATTATCCAAATAGGAAATGAAACTTTTACTACAATGCTTTCAAAAAATGGTTGAAAGAAGATCACAATTTCCTAATTTCCATATAAAACAGGAGTTTTTGTTATTACTTTTGTAAAAGCAACTTTAATAAAGTGACGAAAAATTTCTTTTAGTGCCGTCATTTTGTAAGACGTTAATCATTATTTGTCATAAATGTTACATACATCTTGATTTCAGAAAATTTGAATTTTTCTGTTATTCCTGTGACACCTTGTATAAAAAAAGAATTTATACTATAATACAAATACAATAGAGCCTCGCTAATGCGGTCTTTTCATCATAATTGTGATGAAAAAATCAATTTTAATAGTTTTACCCGGCTAAACCTCCTTCTACAGACATTTTAAAGCTCAATCCGTTTAATCTGGAGATTCGCTAACTCCCATCAAGTTCAGATTTACGAGACTACTGAACCTCAAAAGTTGCACGATTCCACCATTTTTAAATAGCAATTTAGCAATAGCAAATGATTACAAGTAATCGGAACTGAGATTTATATACTAATTTTAGAAGTATTTGTAATTATTATTGGAGTTATGTGGAATTATTCTTGTATTACTTAGGGCCAGTTTCAAAATCGAATTTAAAGGAGCTTTAAATTAAATGTCGTTTAGAATGTGCTGATTCTTATGGACTTGGTAATAAAAATTTCACATTCTACGCCAACATTAACTTTAAGTCTCTTTAATTCGATTATGAAACTGGCCCTTGTTGGATTTTTTTAGAGTAATTGGAAATAACATTGTAGTTTTTGGTTTCATTTTAAAATATAAAAACTAGTTCTTCAAATTAATTCTATTTCATAACTTGTTACATGTAGGTAAGATATTTTTCTATATAATAATTTTGTTTTTCAAAGATAATAACGTTTTTGCTAACTGCCGCTACAACATTATGGAAATTAGTTTGGAAACATAGAAAGTAATTTCAAAACAGTAAATTCAGATAGGTGTCTTACCTTGTTAATAATCAGGTAACGAATCGAACTTCCTATTTTTTATGCACGAGCTCAATTTTGGTATCTTCTAAATTTCCAAATTTATCGATTACCTCCTCAAAAAACGTCTGCTTTTCTGCTAGCACTTCAAGTAGTTCCTTTTCAATTACCATTTTAGCAGATATAGTGACACTTTCCCTCCCCACTACATTCTTCTGAAAGTCATGTATTTTTTTCAAGCATGACGAATATTCATTTTCTGACACCCTTGTACACGGAAGAGTAACAACCAGATGAAACAGTTTATTAAGATCTTGAAAAATGTTACTATACTCAAATAAATCACTGAGAAAATTTGGTGTTGCCGTTCTTTTGGATTGTTGTTTATGATAAACTTGTACCTCATTTTTCAGTCGACTAAATTTGGAGAAAAAATTAGAGTAACGATCTTCTATACTATTGACAAGGTGTAACATTGAAATGTGCGTAGATGAGTATTTTAACGGCTCGAATAAAGAAGTGTATCGAAGGTTTATTGTATCTTGGAATCGGGTTTTGACTTGTAAAATCAGACTGTCTAAAACATTGTAATACAAGATTTTAAATTTTTTACAAAGGATGTCTTGATCTTTGCATAGAGTGTTCGTTTTTGAAACGATCGACTTGAAATGTTCGTTCAATATTGTTTCATTTTGTTTTTCTTCCAACAAATTCACTAAATTTTCCACTTGCACGACTTTTAGTTTGTCTAAATTTTCAGAAAATTCATCAACGATTTGGAAAATATCCTTGAAGATTGCCACCAAAAGTACAAACTCTAATTCCTCGAATTTAGCTGTGAAGAAATCACATTCTCTGACTGAATTTTGATCAGAATTAGGATCGTTGGTAATTTCGATAAAAACGTCCTTTAAAGTGTCCCAATGGTCAGTAACAAAGCTCAAAATGTTACAATCTGGCATCCAGGCAAGTTTCTTCTTTACAAAAATTGGAGTCGAACTCCGTTTTGATAAAAATAAACTTAGACCATTTAAAGCTGCAAAAAATCGTCGACATTCTGGAAAACCATTCAAGCTTTGTTGCAACACTGTTTTCAGGTTGTGATTGCACGAATGAACAAGGAGTGCTTGTGGTGCAACTTCTTTGATTTTTGCTTGCAAGTCGTTCAAATGATCGGCTAAGATGGCACCACCGTCGATCGAAAATCCTACCAGTTTTCTTTGATAGTCAAATTTCTCGAGAGATTGGGTTATGATGTCGAAAAGTGTAGCAGCAGTTCGGATTGTCTCTGGTTCGTAAAAATTTAAGAATCTTTCCGTTACTTTTCCATCAGGTTTGACAAATCGAATCGTGACGCTAATGCGTGATTTTTGGGCTAAGTCTGTCAAATCGTCGAATTGGATTGCAAAAAATTTACAAAGTTTGATTTCATTTGAAATGTAATCGTCGATACTTGAAGATATACATTTGATTATTCCGTTTTGAGTGATTTCAGAGCCGGCATTAAGCTCGGATCGAATTTTTTTGTATTGCTCTTCAATTTGTAGTGACGCTCCTGAGAGTAGGTATTCTAGCAGTGGTTCAAAATTCCCGCCAAAACCTAAAAACAATAAATGTTTTGCTTTAGAGTGGACTTGAAGCTAGGAGTACACACCTGGACGGGCCCTAATTGCACAGGGGACGTGGACCAGTGGCGTAACAAAATTTTATTGAATGGGATACGTATCTCTAACACTCTACAAGCAATAATTATTTGTTGTTATAATTGAAGTAGAAAAACTGCAGTTTAAATAAAAAAAAAGCTTTCAAATGCTGTCTTTTAATTTAGTTCTTTCTCAAATATTTCGATAATAAAGCGAAACTACACGCCACTGCTTCCAAAAACTTCTCTACGCATACACGCCCAGGTGTGACTTCTAGCTTTTACTCCACTTTATTGTCTAAAATTATTTTGAAATAAGAGGTTTTTTTGACAAACTGTTTCAAAACTTGAATGCTTCCAATATCTCTTAAGATAACAAAAAAACAAATACTTTTTGGTAAAAAGGGCGTCACTGTCATTTAATACAAATTTTAAGTGTTTTTGACAAAGTATTTTTTAGAAGTGATCGTTGCAGTGTCAAACATCAAATTAAGGGCGAATAACAATTTGATTACCTATTTAGTTTTTTATTTTACCAAATACCTAAATATAACTTTTATTAATACCTGTTTCACTATTAAGAATGTTCTTTCGCCCTAAAGATTTTAACACTTTTTATCAAACTAAATAATAAATAAACTTGTTGTCACTACTGTATAATAATGCTATTTGACCCATGCTTCTATTGAAAAAATCGAGTTGGCTTCGTATTACAAACTTTTGAATCAAACATTTTTTAAACAATTTGATAAGTATTTTTTGTTGTGTTTAAAAAATAACTATTTATTCAACAAGTTGCAAAATGAGCGTCTTTTTGCGTGAAGACTGGACCACGAGTGTAACAAGTTTGAATGTCTATACCCGCAGAAACTAAATTCTGAAATTGAGGATTTTAGTCGCTGATGATCTCTAGGGTTAATTCCTCAAAAACTCTTATTGTTATTGTTAAAAAAAGTATTGTGAATTGCGAAAATACACCTAGTGAAATTTAAAGAACTGAAATTAGGGACAAAACCTAAAAAATACTTTGCCGGCAGCTGGAACAGAAACCGTTGCCGGCAACAGAGCCACTGCCTTAATTGTAATAATAAGTGGAGTATTATACAGGATGGTCCAAAGGCCTGGAAACTATTTTATTCTGGCGAAATTATCAATTTTTTTGGCAAGTAACAGATAAAGTTTATATTTTTTTTAACATAAATTGTAACATTTTTAATAAATATTTTTGTACATTTATAAAATGCATAAACATATTTTTGTAAAACAATAAATAAAAAAACGTTTTTTTTAAGAAAAAAAGTATTTGTATGGTAATCTCAAAAGTTTAAACAATTAATTAAAATAAAAAATATTTTGACATCGCTCCTTTGCAACATTTATTAATTTATTTCAAAAAAAACTTGTAGTTTACTCAAAAAAAATTCTTTAATTTTTGTAAGTTAAACATTTTTTTTAACAAAAAAGTCAGATTTACAAAAAAAATTGCACAGCAGCAATTCTTGTAACAAGCTCGTTGTGTAAAAAAAGATTGTGGTACGTTTCCATTAAAAAAATTACTATGTTTATCTCATAAGTATAAACAATTCATTAATATTCAATTTTTTTTTGAATAGCATTTTTATAGCGATTAGACACCTATAAATTTATTTGACAAAAAAGTTGATAGTTTCGCCAGAATAAAATCGTTTCCAGACTTTTGGACCACTTATAAATAACCGGCCGCACTACTGACTCACCTTGGATGAACGTCCGGATCGCAAGTTGCATAATTCGTCTGTTTAGTCGTACATTTTCCAACTGTTCGGCACTCAATATTGGAGTCACTTTAAGTTCATTATTTCCAAGCAAGTTTTTCTTTAATTTAGCAAACTCTAAAGAGGAACGTATATGTGCGGCTGTCTTCACATGTCTTACTAAATCAAGTCTGATGTTTCGCAATTGGTGATGGCCAACTGTGCCCCATATATTATTCTTTTCGTTGTTTAAGATACAGGGAATGCAGAAAAGTTTATTTTTGTAGTGACTGCCACACACCCAATCGAACTGAAAATATAGTGTTTTGTTGAAATTCCTTTGGCCAATTTTGTTGCCCTTTTTTCGTCTTTCATTTATTGAGGGCATGGGTTTTTCAGATCTTAGGAAATCTTCTTTATCGATTTGGCGCCAATTTGAGAAAGGTGTTTGCAATAAACAACACACAGGGTCGTAAAGTGGAAACATTTTTGTTATTATTGAATCGCACTGTACCAGTGAGAGAGAGACTGAGAGGACGCAAACTGAAGGTTGCCCAACTTGACGGCGAGTGGTCACGTGATGTGATATTGCTTTGAACTTGATAAGCCAGTAGTGCTCTCTATTTTGCAGATGCGATATTATTACCGGTTTGTACAGGTCTCTTTGTCTAAATCGGAATCTGACTTTCTATTTTATTTTGTTGGTTAATATTGTTGCATCACGGGAATCACGGCGACAACAATACACTTTTTTAACCGAACAAAGAGGGCTAAATACTAAAATACTAAATAAAGGGCTTCTTGCAAGAAGTCCATATGTGACATTTTTATGTTTTGAGGATTTAAAGTTTTGTTTTCCAAAATAGTCTGTAAAGAGAGTCGTGTGAAATCAGCCACAGATTTCAGCCACAGGTTCCTTACGTAGAGGAAATTTCAGATGAAATTTCCGGAGAGGTGGGATACGACCGTATTTGTACGTTGCATTTCGATTGCAGCAACAGATTCCCGGAACTATTTCTGGAAGGGTGAACTTTACTTGAAATCCATTTCTATGGTTTCCGTAACATTTGCCATTTATCTGACAATTATCAATTAAGTGTTTGTTTCWCTGTCAAAGTATAAATGTCGTGCCTGCACGTGCAATTACTGGACACATATCATTAGTTGATAGCAACGCTATCCCTAATGATCAGCCTCCTTGGCCACGTGGAAAATGGTCAATGCCCAAATTTTTTTATAATAATAATACTACTCTTTATTATGACAAAAGTAGACAAGTCATTTTCGGATTTGAAGATTTGGGTCATTTGGGTCGCTCCCTGAAATATGCGGATCATGCTCTTGTTTTAATGGCAAGAGGTATCCGCAAAAGATGGAAGCAGCCCATCGCGTATTATTTTACCGCGTCCACAATTTCAGCAGTTGCATTGAAACAAATTATTGTTAAAGCCATAGAAAAATTAAAATCATTAGGATTGATTGTTGTTGGTACAGTCTGTGACSAAGGTGCCACCAATAGATCAGCGGTGAGCCAYTTGTSTTCTTCGGTAAGTGACACCCCTTCAYGTTATCATTTTGAAGTAGACGGCTACAAAATTAATAGTATTTTCGACCCGGTTCATTTATTGAAGAACACTAGAAATGCGCTTATTGAAAATTTTATTGAATTTGCGCCAGGCAAGCGAGCAGATTTTGACCACATTTTAATGGTTTTCGAATCAGATCAGAAAAAGAAATTTAAATCTCTACACAAATTAACCCGCCAAGATTTCAATTTTAAAAATTCTTATACGAAAATGAAAGTTTCTGTTGCCGCGCGCCAGTTGAGTTATAGTGTTGCCTGTGAGTTAGAAACGTATGTGTCACATAATCAGTTACCAGCAAATGCAGTTCACACCGCGGAATTTGTTCATTTGATTGATCAGCTTTTTGATTCTTGTAATGGCAACACAAAATATTCCAAACGCGAGAGCAAACCATTACGATGTGCGATTAGAGAAGATTCCRCARATATTGAGTTTTGGTCGGACCTTTTGGCAAAAATAAATAGTTGGAAAATCATAAATAAAGCAACTGGTAAGAACGTTACTAACCAATTTCATTTTATTAATGGATGGAAAYTAACAATTCGCTCCATAATTGCAATTTGGCAAAATCTTCAAAATTTGGGATTGGAGTATTTGTGTGGTCGTGTTTTGAACCAAGACACGGTAGAAAATTTGTTCTGCTGTGTTCGACAACATGGTATCGCAAATACCAATCCCACGTGTTTTCAATTTATGTCTGCTTTGAAAACGTGTGTTCTTAACAACCTAGTTATGCCACACAACTCTCAAAGCAACTGTAAAGATGATGGGGATTCTTTACTTGATAACCTGACTGCTCTTTTAAAGGAAGATGTTCAAGATGACTCTGTTTCCGCTACGGATGTAGTGTTTGAAGATGATTCGCTTGAACGCCAAGACTTTTTTACTAATGTAAACGTGGAAGACATTCAAGGATTGGCCTATGTGTCAGGTTACATTGTCAAAAAAATGGCTGTCCCTGATTGTGCTTCATGTAAAGACGCTGTCCATTCTCCAGACGTGACTKCTTCACATACGACTGTAATGTTCCGTGACGATGGTAAACGTCTTGTTTATGCATCTGAGAGTTTRATTAATTTTGTTAACGGCACTAATGAACTTTTGTGTTTATTTTTGAAAACATGTGCYAACAAGAATTCTTTGGAAGATCAATTTAAAGGTTTTTGTTTGTCGAAAGACACTTTTCAAAAATTTTTTACGTGTCCAGTTCACAGCGCTCACATGTTGAATYAGTTTTTTAAAATTACAATTCCGTTTTTAATTTTTAAATATGTTAATGAAATTAACAAAGGATCGCAACATGCTGCGACTCGCGCTTTAAAAAAACATGTTTCAAAGATCCAGAAGTTTAATAGTTAATTTTGCTTTCGGTATTTTATTTMATTTTGTTATATTYTTWMTWMWWTWTWTTAMWAMAWTYTTMTTTTTWT